TCAGTCGAAAAAAAAAACAACCTTACTCACGTGATCTACTTTCAGGAAACTTAAATATCAGAAAAAAAAAACAAGACTTTTTTAGGTTTATAGAATAGTGGGTCCATTAAGACAGCCAGAAACTAATTATGGAACTAAACTAACTCCATTGATTATTAATTTTAGTGATATTTGTAACAGGAATATTTTTACGTTTATTCACAGTTCTGTATTCCAACACTGCAATCACCTACTCTGGAATCAACTTACTCACCGTCTGTACAAATTTTTCAAAATTTCCAACAATAAGAAATAGCCGATAGGTTCATACGAAAGAAATGGATCGTTACTTTTTAACACACAAAACTTATTATTTTTATTCTATTTATTTGAATGATTGTTACATATGTACAGTAATGAATGTTTTTCTCGATACATGTTAAACATTAGCTTTTTAATTAGCAGTGATTACTTTGAACGTAAATAATCGTATACTGTTGTGGTTACTGTTTTTTTTTTTTGTTTATTGTTTTTTTTATGCGAAGGAATGCGTTGGATGCGGTTGTGACTTAATTAATTTATTTTTGCTTTTAGATGCCAAGAAAATGCTCGACGAAGATCGGAAGTTGATTAATACAACTATGTTTTATTATGGCATAAATGTTTATGCCTTATTAGTTATAAGTGATTATACTGTTCTGTAATACAATCAAAGCAAATTTTCGGTGTAGTTTTGAACTTGTCCTTGCCGGTACAAAGCACTGTCACAACCTTCTTTAGGGTTGTCACTTGTTTCTTACTTCTTTTTTTTTTTCAAATTTGCTCCATTGAGATAACCATTGTACTTACAGACAAAATTTTAGTACATATATAATTTAGTACATGAAGGGTATTTTAAGGTTAATTGGCCAAACTTCAAAAAATAAACTAAGGACAACAAAACAAGAAAAAAAAATTTCTATGAAGGTATGTCCGCAAACGCATTATTTAGGAGATATTCTCACCTAATGATTTTTATTGTTATGAATTATTCACGTTATATGAAATAAATAAAACCTATTTTTGTTCTAACTAATTTATTAATTAAATTTAAACATTAACAGTCATATTAAATGTTGTTTAAAGTTGTTTCCTTGAACACTGAGACAGGTTCGGCATCTTTCTTCAATAACAGCAGTGGCAGCTCAATCATATCCCATATCCCATATTCTAATCAATGGATTGGCCGTGCAGGACCAGTGGCTTGGCTTGCACGCTCTCCAGACCTTACACCATGGATTTTTTTGTTTGGGGTGAGATTAAACAAAATGTCTATGCAAGTCCGATCAATGACCTTAATTCCTAACGAAGAAGGATAATTGAACTGCATTGATATTGAACTCGTGAAACAATAACAAATATACACATATGCCGTTCTGTCACTGCTGCTGTTGATGAAAGATGCCGAGCCCTGTCTTAATGCTCAAGGAAATCACTTTGAACAACATTCAATATGAATGATAATGTTTAAATTTAATGAATAAAGTGCTTTGAACAATTAAATAGGTATTTATCACATATAATCTAAATAATTCATAATAACGAAAATCTTTAGATTTGAATATCTCCTAAACAAAGAGTTTGCGGATATAACTTCAGAGGTTTTTTTTTTCTTGTTTTGTTGTCCTTAGTTAATTTTTTTGCAGTTTGGCCATTTAACCCTGAAACAACCTGTAGAATACGTAGTCAAGTTTTACTAAAAAAAAAAACAACACATTTCTCCTATCTAATATATATATAATCACTATTCATTTCTCATATTACTTCACACATATGTGAAGAAGTACACATATTTCATTTCATTACAGACATATTTTTTTTTTAAATTTAATTACTGCACAAACATAACCTTGACATTATCGAACCTGAATCAATACCGGTGTTTTTACCTGAACTTTGTGAAAAAAAACTTACAACAAAACACTAGCTAAGTTAACCTAGAGGTTTTTTTTTTTTTTTTTTTTTTTCTTTCTAGGAAACCTGTTTTTGAATATTTCTCAAACCTCTCATAATACTCATGTCAGGGCCATTTGTAAAATTGTTTTTTCTATGTTGTTTGAAAATAATTACAGCCCCAAGTTATTTTCTACATGTATATTAGAAAAATATGTTTGGAAATGATTACATTGTGCAAATTTTATTTTGCCCTGTAACTGTAAATGAATATGTTCATTTTAATCTTTAAGCTAATATTTATTTATCCTTATTTTACCGATATAGAAGATTAACATTTTATTTTTATTGTAAACATATTATTTTCTTATACTAATTTTAAATTTAGTCATAGTAATAATATATCATAACTGTGTTATAATATATAACTTCATTGTATATTATTTACTGCAATTTGAATTTAAATTGGAAATAAATAAATACATTTTCGTAAGAATGGGGAGTAAGAATGCTTAGCTAAATTTTTGAGCAGGGTCAGAACTGGTTTATATTACGTTTTCAATTTATATTATATTAAAATATATTTAGTTACTAAAAGTATAATAAGGAATTGACGGCCCACTTAAGATTTTTATGGAGCGTACAGAGAGATCAAGATCGGAAAATTTACTGCAACTAGAACTGAGATAGGTAAGTATTGTAATAGTTAGAAGGACTAGACCTTAGAGTTCTATGAAGTTTTCTATTATATTATCACGTATATTTTGATTTTGAGAAAACAATAATAGGTAAATGAGATTTATGACAAGGAGATTAGATAATTAATTATGAATATTTTTGAGATGTTGCGTTTATATAACGGGATTTCTATAATTGTGAATTGAGGGTATTGGTACAAGGAGGCAGCTCCACTTTGTGCCTCTGTTGATTTGAACATCCTATCACATACAAAAGAAATAGCGGTTTCGTTTGGTACAAGAATGAAACAGCTCCACCCGCTAGTTCCAGAGAAATCCGGCAGATGGAGCTGCCTCGTTCTTCATCCAAACGATAAATATTTAATCACTAGGTACAAACTATTTCTATGAACAGCCATATATCTGTAAAGGGATTATTCAATGCAGTGTGACTGGATAGGGATGACTGGATGTCTTCGATAATGCGAAAACTTGCAGGTCTCATAATACTTGACAACCTTCATCAAGCTTATAATTGTCTCCCCCCGTTTTAAAGACCAAAAGTTTAAAGATGTCAATGAGGTGGCCAGAAAGTATGTTGGACAAAACGAAATTTTGATTTAGGACCAGTTGACGTCGGATGTTGCAAACGATCCTGAGGAGACTGAGGGAGAGCTGGAAGACTGAAGAAGAACTGTACATATTAATGTATTAGGCCGATGATGTTGTACTTCCTTTGTTAATAAATGTTTTGTAAAGTGAAATATGTTTAATTCTGGATAAAATGGCCCTACAAAGGATTTTTCATTCACTTTGGAGGAAAACGGAGGCTGCTCCTAAATTCAAAGTTCCATTGCACGTACCTGAGCCCATATATTTGTGTGTATTCTGGTAAGTTGTATTTGATACCCCATAACCTAATACAAGACCAAATATTTTCTGTTTTCGTTGAAAACTGAAGTTTTATTTTTTTATTTTATTTATGACATTTACAACTGTATTTAGCAATTTTGATAACAGAAAATATAACATGAAATCACTGAAACTACCAACTGGTAGCACTCTAAAAAAAAAAAAAGGAGATCTCGAGGCCATCTTCTTTTCAGACGCCTCGGAGGATTATCAGGGATATAAGAGGAAGCAAGGTTAGAGACGAGATGATTTGGATGGTTCTGAAGTTTATTATGGAAGGATAGGTATCTGGATTGTGCCAAATCGGAAACACAAGGAACATTAAGTTTCGTATGGATTATTTTATTGGTGACAAAGTAAGGAGCATACAGGATTTCCCGGAGGATTTTGGATTGTAAGGATTGGATACGAGAGGAATTCGATGGCTTAGTAAACTTAATTTTTAAAACTTTTTTTTTTAATTTGCTACATACTCCAAAAAGTGGAGTTGCCTCCTTCTTACACCAAACCCTTCAATTGCAGATAGTGAAAATGAAATCGTGATGGATTTGAAATTCGTATATTTAAATTTGGTGAGAATACAGTGATTTCCGGGATCTGGATTGGGTCTTTGCCTAGACCCACTTTTTTAAATATTATAATTGTGTCCTTTAAAAGGTTTAGCCTCGAATGGTTATTCAGAACGGATTTATATCTCTTATCAGAATTTTAAGAGCCTCATTAATTTTTGTTTTTAATAGGTTATAGTTTCATTGAATAAAAGAAAGATATATTTAACACACCCAAAAAAAATTGAATGTATTCTTTGAAGCTCGACTATACAGCCTAGTACAAAGTGGCTAATATACAAGGCTAAATTCGAGCCTATTACGACATTTGCCTCGGAGTCGTCAATGCAAGACACAGAGTGTTAGCGGTAGAGATGGACTTTTGGAGAAGAGCAGCAAGAAAATCCAGAAGGGAAAGGATAAAAAATGAAAGAATTCTGGAAATAATGGATGTGAAAAAAAATAATTTAGCAAATACTGAAAAGTAAAAGTTAACCTGATTTTGACATGCGAAAAGAATGACGCCTGAAAGATTCCATACGTTCCTGTATGGAGCTGGAAACAGAAGGAAGAAGGGAAGACCAAGGGAAAAATGGAAAGACACGGTATAAGAAAGCCTGGTGGGCACGGGTGGATCCACGGAGGGGGGAGGGCTTTCGGGCTGAAGCCCCCCCAAAATGGTAAAATATAACCATGTTTTATCGAAAAAAATATTTAAAAAGTATCTCTTAAAGTATTATTGTTCGTGTAATTACATTTAAAAGGGCTTTAGGGATCACTTAAACACCATTTCATATAGGTAGTTAGTTTCTTTCTTTTTTTCCAAAGTAATTATCGTTATTTTTATCAAAAAACAACTTTCGGGTTCAAGCCCCCCCCCCAAAAAATAAATCCTGGATCCGCTAGTGCTGGCGGGTAATGGCATCATAGAAGTCTAGGATAGATAAGAATGGAAAAATATCTTAAATAATATTTAGGTCAATGACAACCACAGTAGTGAAAAAGTGCTTAAAAAAAATGTAATAAATCTATAACAACTATACAATTATTTTCTATAACTAAATAGCTACGTACATTAAAGCAAGAAATATACATTGAAAAATATGAATTATTCTATAACAATACTCAAATCTAGTATATTTCTGTGACTATCTTATATGTAAAAAAGGTGTTTACACGTAAAATAAAAAATAAAAAAATCTAATGAGTTCGTTGTGGTGACTACGTTCCTTTGATTTAATCTACGGCCAGTTTCCTGAAGGTGCCGTCAATTCCGTAAGTGTTCTGGGAGTCTGGAGGACGCTTCTTCTCGTCTGAGACTTGTTTTGAAGACTGCATTAACCATTCTTTATTTTCTTCCATTTGATCCAACCAGTAATCTAGAAAATACATTTCCAATTAACCGATGATACACATAGGTTTACACATGATCTAATAATTCAGATAATTTCTCATTACCATTTAGTTCTGCGGAAGATTTATCATTGCCACCGTAGTCGGAAGGCAACATTTCTAATGGTATGTAATCTTTTAGGGATGACGCTCCATCGTTGACAACTTTTATCTAAAAAAACATACCAAAAAAAAATAAAAATAGAATTCACTATGAGAAGATGTTAAAACATTACTATGAAAAGTATAGGCATTGAATTAGAAAGCTAATGATTTAGTTCTAATATTCGCACTCTCAAATAAAAAAAAAAAAACTTGAAGAAGAAGAACACACAGACTATTTTCTATGAAAATGTACTAAAGCATTTAAGAGGTCAAAAATCCAATCATGACCTTTTAAAATGGAAAATAGATGTTGGGCAAAAGCGATAAAGAGAAAAAATTCCTCCTTAATGACAACTCTGAGGAAAACTAGCAGCTAGCTCAACAAGCAAAAGAAAATGTGATCAAGAACCTAAAAGTGGATGAAAGAAATAAAAAAAGATTTATTATTGGTGGCTGAAGAAGTCGTGGAAACAACAAAATAACTCTAGTGCTCAATTATAAGCAAAAGGTTTAATTTAATAGGCGAGAAGTTCCATATTCCAAGACCGTTAAATACCAAGGAAAGACTATCAACTGGAAAAGAAGAAATACAAGGGGAACGCCAAAATCACTACCTTATCAATGCAAAATCCTCTTAAGTTAAAACCAGCGCTATCTTCGGCATCAAAGGAGAACTAAGCTAAGGTCAACTGGCAGTTACTCTCTTTTGAGTGTCACTAACGGAACATAGTTTCAGTTTAACAAAAAATTTTTTTTTGCTTTTTTGGCACTTACAACGTTTTCACTGTCAACGTCTCAATTAAAAAAAAACTGTATGGATTTAAGTGATTCAGCTGTGGGATAGTACCCAAAAAAGCCAAATACAATTTATACAAACTGTTCAAAACAAAGTAATTAGAATTATACATGGTACATTTCAATATGTTATTAGCGAAAATCTGTATAAAGACCTTAAAGCCAAATTCGTCAGATAAAAAATGATATGCTATGCTGATACAAACATTTGTTAATCCTGAAATGTTGCACTTTGTTGAAAAAGTTCCGAACCAAGTAAGACGATTTAAAAGAAGCAAGACTTATGATTTTTTAACAAAGTGCACACAGTAATTTACATTAAAATAACTCTAAAAGAATGAATGTCGGACTAACTCGGGATACTAGCCAGTGGTTTATAACACACAACCGTGAGGATTCTTGTTGTTCGTACATGAATGAAGAGCAACTTGCTACGTTAGGTCAACAACAGGAAGGTACTCTAGTAGTGGGTTTGTATACCATACTATCTGAAGACTTAGGGCATGATAAATAAATAAATTTTAATACATATTTTTAATAAATAAATAGAGATGAAGTGATGTTGCCCTTTCTGGATTATCAATACATTGCAATCGATAATAGATAATTGTAATGAGGTGTATTAAGAAAATTAAAAATAGTCTACAAAAAAAAATCTGGTAGATCTTCGGCCGTCTGAACCAAGACTCGTCTTGGTCTTGCGCAAAAACTGTCAGTGTCCTTGATTGGTTTGTGAATCATTGTAATGTATGAATATTTCCACTGAAGGGAAATTTAGTCGCTCTGATTAATGCATTATATATTGATGTTACACTACAGTATTGTTGCCCAAATGCGAAAACGAGACGAGTCTTGGTCTTGCAAACTCAGTCTTGGTCATGGTCTTGGTCTTGCGCAAGAGTCTCGCAACAGCCTCGCAGTTACCTATTAGCTTATCACTATAGAGATATTACTGTAAGTTTTTAGATAGGAGAAACATAACTAAGCCCGAATGAAATATTAGAAGAGTTAAATGTAAAAGTATATTGGTAATGCCAATGCTTTACATATAGTAACTAAGAATTTCAAGGTAATCCTTAATCAAGGTAATGTTACTAAGTAACATTATCAACTATTTTTCCCTAAACATCGAAACATTTATTTTTGTTTACCAATATTGGTCTTGATCTTGTATCAGTTAGACGGTCTTAGTCTTGGTCAAAATGGAAAGTACAAGACCAAGAACGATTTTGGGCAACACTAGTTGCCACATATCCTGTTATTAACATGACTCACTGAGTATTTTCTAAGCTATATTACCACTCATATACTAATAACTCTCCGTTGTATTATAATTTATTTTGCACAATCATAGTTACCCTGTCAAATAACTTGTCTTTCATCACCGGCTTAACCAACTTGTTCACCATAAATTCAACTAAAGGAGGAGCATTGAAAACGCAGCATCCCTTAAACTTAATTGGATACCCATCCTGGAAAAGAATAAAATAATATAAATAATAACATTTATTACCAAGAGTTCCTAGCAAGATCATTAACATATTTATTTTACTAAATTGGTATTTTTTTTTAACCCGTCTAAACAGATATCCAATAACAAGTTATTTTTATCTATGTACAAATGTAAAGAGTATTAAAATCAGAAGTCATTATAAACCTGCACTAATATTAATAAATATTATACAGTAAATTATATTAGTTAGTTACTATTAATTGGCTATTAGTGATAGCTCAGAAGAATCAAACACGAAATTAAATTAAAATAATCAAAATATAGCAACATATATATATATATATATATATATATATATATATATATATATATATATATATATATATATATATATATATATATATGATCGGTAATAAGTTATTACATATTTTAATATATTTATAATACTTTAAAGTTGTTCTTAAACTATTGTGTTGGCAGGTAGAAATAAGTTATTCCATTGATCACAAATATTTTGACTGAATACAGATAGTTTGAAATTTAGGATATAATTCATTGTGTGAAAAAGCCTGTGTTATATTTGTCTCGATTTACTTTCTTTAGGAGAAAATGTTTAAAATTAATAACCTTCTATTGTTATTTATTGGATGGATATTTTATGAAATTTCTAATGAATTCTGAAATTCTGAATGAATTTGATATGAAATTTCTTGGCCCTTCGTATGTTATTAGATTTATAATAATTTCTATTCAAAGTAGAGAGGAAAGTAAAGGTTGTGTGTTGCGCGCACCAGATTTTTTTTTTCTCATCACTCGCCATCATCTCAGTTTGTCTTGGGCTATTTTTTCAGTTGTCTGCAATCAGCTTTATTGCATCTTTGTTGATTCTATCTATCCCAAGTGGTCTTTCGGCTTTTATTGAGGCATTCATTGTTATGTAGAGGCTTCCAGATGTATTCCTCCGAACTACATGTCTCGCCCATCTTAACATCAGTGCCTTCATTTCATGAGATATTGATTGACCATTTTCTGCAAGTAGGTCTTTCTTTTCCATCTGTTAGTATTCTGATGCTAGATCATGCCTGTTATTATTCGGAGGATGTTTTTTTTTTCAAATTTTTCAATACTTTTTTTTTTGGACGCTGGTTAGTGTCCAAGTCTCACATCCAAACATTAGAAATGGCTTTACTTTAGGATTATTAAAACTTGTAATGATTATGAGGTGAGTGTGGATATTGGTTTATTAGTAAATCGGTAAGTCAATGTTTAGTCAAAATTAAGGCCGATTTCATGGAGAGAGGAGAGACGAAACTTTCTGACTACAGCTCCCAAAATGTAAAAAAATTGTTTTCATTAGTCCACATCGCTCTTCGAAATATTGTCTTTTTAAATAAATAAATTGTTTTTACATTATTTATTGACCACGTCCACTGCACTTTATGTATTTGTATGCATGTTATGAATTAGGTTAGGAAAAGAGACGAGAAAATCTAGGGAACCAGAAAAATGTATAGAGTGAGAGAAGGAACAGAAAGGGATATATAATGCTAATAAATGAATGAAAGAAATAGTAAAAATAAAATAAATAAAAATAAATAAAAATATTGGAAAAAAATTATGATAAAAAAAAATATACACAGATAAAAAAAAAAAAAAAATTGTATATTATGCTCATACATGTTGTTAATACTATATAATTGTATATTAGTTTTGGAAAATTGTCTGTAGCGATTAATAAGTATGCTGTGTTTAAAGCAGCCCATTGTAATTGGACAACACCCTTTTATGATAATAAAGTGATTCTCTCTCCAATACACGTAGCTTAGTTAATGCAAAAGGTCGTGTATAAAAACTGAGTTTTTTTACAGAAGAGCATGAAAATAGATTTTTTTTTTTAGTGATTTATTGGCATGATTTCATATTTTATTTCCATCTACTATTTTCTTATTTTGTAGACTACTTATAGAATAAACATTTAAAATTGTAGATAAACATATGCGCCTTTCTGCACTATCAGTAGCGATGCTAAATGTAAGAGAGTATCAAGAAAAAATACAAAACGTTATCATTAAAATCATTATTGTTCCTGCAATTATCTTTTTTTTTTTTTTTTTACCTTCTTAGACCACTTAAACAGCATTTCATGTATTTTTTTTTCACAGTAATAACAAAATATAATAATACAAATTGAATAAATAAGCCTCTCAAAATTAAATCCGGAAACCGCTACTGGTCCAAATATATTAATTCCAATTCGTGATCAGTAAAACAAACAATTAGATTGAATCGAGTGATAAACATGTTCGATAAAACGCCTCACTGGCAAATTAACAACCATCAATCATCTGCCGTGATGTTAAGTAAGGACATTAATTATTAGAACTGCGTCAGTAATATATATATATATATATATATATATATATATATATATATATATATATATATATATATATATATATATATATATAAAATAACAAAAAAATAACAATAACAAAAATTATAACAAAAGAAGAGAAAAAGAAGGATTTGTAAACGAAAGATATGAAAATCCTGCTGTAATGTAATTTTTATTTATTTACTTTTATAAATAATTAGTTATTTACTTTGGTTATGATAAAAACAGGAATACGCTTGTCTATTAGTCATCATGTTGACCGATAGACAAGGAATTATGATCAATATCAATGATCAATGATCAACAGTCGAAGGATTATTCTCTTTGGGTACGAGAAGTAATGTCTATGTTATATCCAATCAACCCTTTGGTAAGTTAAAAATTAAATTTGATTATTTACGAAGCTCACCTGAAAACAACCCAAAGAAGAGGCTACGACGGTAGGACTGAACATTGTTAAGGCTGAAGGAGGAAATCCAGTACAGTCGAAGAAGGCATAACATCCATTCAAATCTGCAAACTTTTTCATCGCGACCTCCAGCAACATGAGCATCCGCGCCCCCTCGTGGGGGTGGTCAAACGCTTTGCTAAAGCAATCGTTCAGTGTTACAAAATACACTAAGTAGCCTTCAGGAGTGGTGTTCGTCAACAAGAACTGTTTCCTGTAAAATGAACAAATAATTAATGAGAGAAAAAACAAAAAAATATAAGGTAAACATTCTATATAAAAAAAAACGAAACTATATACAAAACAATTATTACTATGACAAGGCACTTAAAGCTATTTGCACTAGTATACACTTTTAAGAAAATAATAAAGAATTAAAAAATAAAAATGTATCAATGAATCAATCAATGAATTTGTATGTATCAAATTCTCTATTAAAATCAGCTCGAATGGTTAGCAACTATCTGACTGTTCTTGGGATAGGAATTGGAATAGGAGGGTTTTGAATTTGGATATGGATGGGGAATGTCGAATTTTGATAGGGAGGGAATTCCAGAAATTGACAGAGCGAACAACAAAGGAATTTTGGAATGAGGCAGATCTGTGAGAAGGCATGTAAAGATTAGAAGGTCGAGATCTTGTGGACAGGGAATGGACTGAGGATTTGAACTGGAGAAGATTGTAGGCGTAAGAAGGACGATGACTGTTGATGATTTGGTAGAGGAACGTACCTAGGAAATATTGTCTTCGGAAGGAGGGGAAAAGCCACTTTAACTCAGCATAGTGGTGAGAAACATGGGAGTATCTTGGGGCCCCGATCACAAATCTTACACAGCTGTTCATTAGTCTTTTCAGTCTATCACGGAGCTCCACAGAGAGGCCATCATACACCACACAGCTATAGTCAAAGTGGGGGAAAATGAGAGAGGAAACTAGGAGTCTACGCGTATGTTGAGGTAGGAGATGGCGGAAGCGATGGAATAGTTTGAGGGTGGAAATTGTCCGTCGAGAGATATGAGAAATATGGTGATTCCAAAGGAGGTTTTGATCAATGAAAAATCCTAAGTTTTTAACAGAGGAGTAGAAGGAGATTGGCTGGTCATTAAGGTGAAGGATGGGAAAGTCTGGATGGGATCTAAGAAGGGGCTTGGAAGCAATGACAATGGCCTGAGTTTTGGCGGCATTTAACCTTAATCCATTTACATTTGCCCAGGCACTGATTCGATCTAGGTCTTCTTGGATCTTGGCAAATGCCCCCAGTAACTCAGGAGGGGAAAATGATAGGTAGATCTGTGAATCGTCTGCATAAAGGTGATGGGAACAATGGAGAATTGATTTAGGTAGGTCGTTAATGTAGGAGCTGAAAAGGAGAGGAGATATGCTTGAACCCTGGGCAACTCCAGAGGATAAAGAAAGGAAGGCAGATAGTGGTTGGTTGGGTATGGAGACTGCTTGGGTACGTTGTGAGAGGAAAGATTGAAACCAAGAGATGGAACTATTGGAGAAGGATAATAATTTCAGTTTGTTGAAAAGGATGGAATGGTTAATGGAATCGAAGGCTTTGGAGAAGTCGAGAAGGATAAGGATGGTTAACTTTTTATCATCTATTGCAGTTTGAATGTCGTTGGTGATTTTAATTAAGGCGGATTGTGTGGAGTAGCTGGGACGGAAACCAGATTGGAGAGGATCAAGTTGGTTGGACTTTTCAAGGAAGTTGGAGACTTGGGATTGCACCAATAATATATATATATATATATATATATATATATATATATTATTATTATTATTATTATTTCTTAATAATATTTACAACTGTATAAAAAAAAAATATGTCTAGTAAATTTAACATTTTTATTATATAATTTATTTCTCCACAGCTTTTATATTTTGACCTTTATATACCCTCAGAGGCGTCTGAAAAGAAGATGGCCTCGAGATCTCTTATTGTAAATACATTTTGTTTTTAGAGTGCTACCAGTTGGTAATTTCTCAACAAGTGATTTCATGTTATTATTTTCTGTTATCAAATTTGCTAAATGTATTTTATTTATTAATACAGTTGTAAATATCATGAATAAAAAATAAAAAAAAGACGTTTATATTTTAATTTTCACACTTAAGTGTATGCCTCACAGGTCAGTATTATAAAAATCAATGTTACCTTTTGGTAATTATTTATTGGAAGTTTCGGGGAATCTATACTCTCCTCTTCAGCATTTTTTTTTTTTTTTTTTTTGGAAGTATAAGAGGAGGACACTGATTCCCCGACATTTAATATTGCATAAAGGTCCCAGATATCTCGACTGTTAAGGATAGTCTGTTTAGACTTTTGATATTCGCCAATCTCATTATTTGGTGAAATTCCTGTATGTTTATCCAATCTTTATTCATTCCTTTCATGTGCTCAAAGAATTTCAATTCCGTTTTCCTCATTATGTAAATGTTATCCTGCCTGTCAAGCATATGCTCCTCTTGATATATGTTGGAAAGCCTACCTCATACAGGCATATATTCCTCTATCTGTACATAATTTTGCATGCTTATTAGGCCTATATTCTTTCTAATGACGAAAAATGAAATTGAAATTATGTGGCCACATGAAAGGAATGAATAAAGATTGGATAAACATATAGAAATTTAACAAAGTAATGAGATTAACGAACATCAAAGCATATCCTCAACAGGCAAATGAAGAAATAGCAATATTTAGAATAAAAAAAGAGGGATACCAAGATAGGGATACATTCAGAGGAACAGCGAATAACATGAAGGTCCCTGTAGTAGAAAATGGCAGAAAGGGAGGAAGGAAAGGGTTAGAATATAAAAAGGAAATGAGTGAAAAATGAAGAAAGCTTGACCTAAAAGGAAAGCCAAGAAATAATGACATACGCCTGGTCCTCAGCTTTCCTAAAATAAGGCCATAGATTTCTATTGGTTCTAGATATAATACATTCGTTTTTTAAATTTTATAATAAGTATGTACACAATATTGAAATAGGTTATTTAACATTTGATAAAATTTTCCAGAGATGTGATGTTAAATGCATTATTTAAACCGGATGGTGGCAAACATGTTAATCAGATAAAATGAAACCATACTATTTAAAATACTGTTGCTCAGTAATAGTTTTCTTATTGTACTGTTGAATAATAAAATAACAAACGAACTAATGATTGCATGTAATGCCATAATCATATCTTCATTATCATAAGAAAATAGAAATTTACTAGATGGTTGTTTTGATAAATGATGTATTTATTCTTATACTACCACCAATTTTAGGATAAATGAAGCGGGGGCAAGTAAAGTGATAAAATTTGCGGGAAAAAAAACCGTGCAGCAACTCAAACATAATTTTACTTGATATATAAATTACTTTGAGGGAAATGAACTGTTGATACATAACCTCTTTTCTTGCATTTGAACAAAAACTTTTTTTGTCTTAGATTAAAATACACTACTGATCTCGACATACATCTAATTAGCGTTTTTATCTAGGTCTCTTTTTATGAATTGAGATATTGAGAATTTGCCTAAGCAGTACTTATTTTGAAAACTATCCACTGGCTGAAATATACCTACTTGCTTTCTGGTATGATTAAAGGGTATTGAATCAATTATCTCTAAACATTACCTAATTTCAAATATCCATCCATCGTAAATACATATTTTTTACAATACAGATCGCCATTAAATACTTACACTGCTCTAGATTTCTCTCTGAATTGTGCGTTCACGTCTCTGGTTACCTCATCGTAAAGTTTCACCGCCCTATTACGATTTGAGTAATAGGCATCCAGCTTACGTTTGGCTGCTTCTAGTGTCTTTGTGCCACAGACAAATGCCAACATGAGAAAATGTTCTAAAACAGAAATGATTTTAAATGATGTATATAATATACATGCTGTATGAAATATAATACAAATTGTTTTGTAAACAATGTATATTTCGAAATCAGAGAATGGATCATTATGCAAAGTGGTATAGCTGGAGGAAGACAGGAGGATCAGCGGACTGAGATCTCGGTTACATGTCAGGTTCTGAAGGTCAGTAGTCAGATTAAAGATCCACTAACTTTGAGATTGCTTTTATAGAGCGAATATCACGTTTGTAGATAAGGTTACATACTTCTCGATCCTAATGAGATCACGATACAATTTAAGACAGAATGACCTTGACAACGGCAAAAAAAAAATGCCGTCACTTTGCTCATTATTTGGATCTTTTAGTACTACGCCTATATTACTTGCGTTAACGTGCGTTTCCGTATAAAAACGTGCCTTTTATAAAAACCCTCAAGTGATTTCACTGTAAGGTGAATTGTTTTTTTTTTCAGTTCAAGGTGAAAAATCTCGTCTAGTCCAGTGCGCAATAAGTGGGTTCTCCCAGACTACTGGATTTCCCAGTTTTTCATCTGTGCAAGGAGGATTGCGAGCTAAACTGTACGGTCTGGGCATTGATATAGATGCTCTATAACCAACCTGTGGTGTTTCGGAAGCTGTAGAGAACTCGGTCATGTTGTCTGCACCGCATTTGAAGCGTTAAGAGCGACTATGACAAGATCCGCGGGAATCTATGTCCACACTGAAAATGAGCTTCCTCAGTTAATCAGTGAGGACAATTTTCCGTGTTTTAAGGAATTCATAAATGGGTGTAAGAGTGTGGTGGGGCTCGCTCACTTCCGTATTGGTTCCCGCAGAAGAAGAGGACAAGCTCCGAGAAGACCTCCAGATTTTTGGAGTAATCCGAGGACGATAAAAAAGACGGAAAAGGAGAACTGCTATGTGTGTGCACATCCTTGTTCTTGTTATACTAGCAATGTTGTGATATTAAGCATTCATGCCCGTAACATGAATAACCCGTATTGCCATATTGGCATGGGAAGGTGGAATATAATTTGAGATATTTATTAACAAATTACTCATTGAACTCCATTAGGCCTCGTAGATTCCATTGCTTTCCTTACCATTTAATTCTCAACGATTCAGCAATGTCCTCGGGATAGTCCAGCTACGAAAATTCTCCTTAGTATCTGTCTCTCGAATTTATCACTCAGTGGACCTAATTGTTTCTAATATATTTTTTTAGGTCATCCCCTTCCTCGCCTTTAAGGCTTTACGGGGTTTTCCCAGGCCAGAGGGTGTGGGCGTGGATTCAAAGAGTCCCCCGGCACCGGGACGCGAACTCGTGACTATTTTAAATCCATTATTTCATAGATCAAGTTGCCGGGCAACGGCGGTGCTGTGCACACACGTTAGCCCATTCGGCCACCCTGCCCACTGTTTCTAATGTTATTTGTGCGAAATATATACAACAGTAGAACAGTTGATGACTTACCAACATCGTGAGGGAGATGGGGCTGCTTGTCGAGCCAGTCCCTCAGCCGTTGCACGTCCTCTTCCACCGCCTCCTTGTTTCTCTTGTTAGAAATCTCTCCAACCATAGCTCAAGTAGATATCCTTTCTTGTTTCCTACTAATTTAACATAATTTACTATAAAAATACAAGGATTTGTTAACTAAGAGTGAATAATTCATGAGTGAAAATAAAAATTATAATTTTTTTTATAAATATTAAATTGTAACAACTATAATAAAAATACATAACACACATGCATCCATAAAATTAAAAACACAAAAGCGGGAAAAAAAGATAAAAATTGCATTTAATATTCCATCTACAAGAAATAGCATGAAAAAAATTATGAATATGGATACTGCCAAATATACAATATTACAAACTCTATTCATCCCCATTTATTATAATTTAAAAAAATAGGATTCAGATGAAATATGGAGAAAATCAATAGTTTTCATATTTTTAAGTACAATTATGGTAGGTATCGAATTTCTTAAGTTTGAATTTTATTTTCCTATAGATGTGTATGATTATTGTGATGTAGAATTGTATTGTCTGTGTTTAATCTTAACCTGATAAATAATCTAAGCTATGGTATAAAGAATTATACACTTCAAATTAGCTCAAGAAGCCTAGTTATAAAATTATTAAATATACTATTTAAGTTACTGAAAATCGATTCAGAATATTTAAAATTTAATTTTTCGAATATATCCTACAAAATTTTCCGTCATAACAAAGCCAACATCAGACCGTCTTATTGAATTTTGACTATCTTGATGTACATTAATCTCTCGTTTTAGCATATTTCATTGTTTGCTTCCTCACTACCGAAGGTAGAGAAGCACTTTTTTTTTAAGTCGGATTATAATGGAAATATCTTGTTAAATAAAATAACAATGTCATTCTTGTTTTATCTTACATTATTTTCTGAGAGGTGAAAATTCATATTTAAAGTAAAAACTTGATACAAAACTTCCCTACCTTCGGTAGTAAGGAAGGAAAATCAAAGAAAATAAATAAAAAAATACTAGTTGTAATTATCGCCTTTAATAACATATAATTATTGAAATATTTTTATAATGACTATTGCATGACTAGATTTATTTTTTTAATTTTGCATTCTTAATTTCGTTCAAATACATCCTGCCAATAGGCAATTCTAACAACACGCCATCATTCGGAAGAGTTACGAATTACTGAAAACAAGAACCTATTATTTCGTTGGAAAGACAGTACGCATGTTGTTACAAGCCAATGTAATGCCATCTTTTCAATCGAATTTATTATCTATTCAAACTGTTACCAAGGCAAATATGTTTTCCATGAAATATTATCCTCTTAGAGAGACTCACAGGCGGATTTACGAGAGGGGATTTAGGGCTGAAGCCCTCTCCCCCAAAATAGTAAAATATAAATATAAAATATAATAGTAAAATAAACTTTGAAGAAAGTAGTTATCCAGATAATTATGGTACCTATAGTTGAGTGTTTGTAGAGTATCTAAATAACAGTTCCAAGCCTTCCCATTTAACAAATATATCGTCGGTCAATTTGCAAAAAAGTCATTTAGTATCATTTTAATGTGTTTGATATAATCCAATTTGAAGTTTCTGATTCATTAAAAATAGTAATTTTATTACATATATTTTGTTATTTGCAATTTTAAATACGTATTCTATTTCCGACAATGAATTAAAATACTTACCATGTAAATAAAATAAGGAAAATAATTTAAAAAATCTAGTGTGTCCAATCACACGACTTTCCTTCCTTTTTCAAAAAAAGATTTTATATCTTTTCCATGTCCATCAAGAAAAAAAAATAATTGAATTAGATTTATCTTCCTGAAATTTGATCAAAGAAAAGATTAGAGTACGATTTATTTATAAACTAAAGCAATGTAAACCGGCTTAAGGTACATCAGTGTAAACATTTTAATAACCTCTAATATTGCTGATAAAAAACTTTTTGATATAGCTTAGTATTGTAAAACAATAATTTCTGTTAAAAGTAGAGGTAATAGGATATGTTTTATAGGAAAAAATATTTAAAACTGTCTCTTACACTATTATTGTTTGTGTAATTACATTTAATAGGATTTCAAGAACCACTAAAACACTATGGGTAGTTAGTTTCTTTCTTTTTTTTTCAAATTAATTATCATTATATATAAAAACTCCTTCGGGCTGAAGCCTCCCCTCAAAAAAAAATCCTGGATCCGCTACTTGATATCACATTGTGCTTTATTTTTCATATTGTAATGATGGATTAAATCTTATAAACTTAATGTTATGCTCTGTCTACCTAATTCCTTTTTTTTAATTTGTATTCGCCTCTACCCTAGAGGGTCATTGGCGGTTTTTCTTAATTTTTATATTTTTCTATAGTGATTTGTTTCCAATAAATATTGGAAGAGAATGACGACATTTTCCTCATTGTCTCCCAAAATATCTTTCAATGTTGTCGATAACTTTAATTTTTGTCTCTCTTTTTTATATTGGGGGCACTCTAATAGTAAATGCTTAACTGTTTGAGGTGTATTGTCACACTTTTCGCAGGTTGGTGCTTCGAGACCTCTAAGTAGGTATCCGTGTGTGAAAAGACAGTGTCCGATTCGCATCCGGCACAATACTATTTCTTCTCTTCTCGACCTTCTGAAGCTTGTGGTCCATGTGTTGCACTCGGTCTTTATTTCGGCTCGTTTGGCTCCTTGTATTTTGCATTGACCTTCCCAATTTTTTTATAGCTTTTTTCTTGCTTCATGGATCCAATCTTCTACGGTGATGTGATTTATTGTTGTTATGCCTGGTAGCTCTCCCTTTCTCGCCAAATGAGCAGCTTGGTCTGCTTTTTCATTACCCATTATGCCACTATGGGATGGAACCCAGACAAAGACCACACTTACTGCTTTTTTTCTCATCTCCTACCATACGTTTATGATTTCTCTAATGAGAGAGTTGTCAGGCCATGGGTTACCAATGGCCGCCACAATGCTTTTGGAGTCGGTTGCTATGATCCATTTTTAATTCTTAAATATATCCATAAATCCATTCTTAAATATCCATAAAATCTTTATCTCTCTCTTTAATTAATATTTCAAAGCATTAAACTAATATTTTAAATAATCTTCTAATATGAATAACATATTTTTTTCTTATCCCCGTGGGGTATGGTGTTGAGAACACAGGGTAGGAAGAAGATATGGCATACCATAGACATATCTAGGTCTAGGTACGGGGTTCGCTAGTGTCCTGCAAATGTCAATTATTTTTCTCAGTCAAGTAAGAGATTTCTAACGGAATTCTGCTATCACATGGGTTTCTGAGTACATTTCAGTCGTGCATAACTATATATATTTATTCTCTTCAAATCTTAAATCTTAATCCGCACCTTTCATAAATTTGACAATAAGCAGATGAGTTCTTGTAGTGATTTTGAAAAAATTGCATTTCAGTCATCAGGATAGCAGTATGATAATTTTATTTTCAAAACATGAATCATTAATTTATCCATCCATTTATTCAAATTTTAGATTCTGTAATTTTCTAGTTTTTTCTCATTAATCAAACAGGTCAGCAAATTCCCCAATACTTATCCTTACCGTGATTTTCCATTTCTAAGTGAAACTACTGTCTGAACACACCTGTAAGTCTCTATTTTTATTATTCTCATTTTATTACTTATTTTTTGGTTTTCTTTTTTCTTTTCTTCCTCGACATTCCTTTATGTCTATTATTTCATTTTTCCTTTTCTTCCAATCTCTTCTGTAGATATGTAGAAGTATATTCCCATTTGCATATATTATATCTTACACTACAACAATTGTTACCATCTATTTACTTCAGTTTAGGATACTGTTACTTAGCATACTCTGTTTATATTTTAATGTACTTACTGTTTATAATTTTAATAAGCTTATTCACATTGTTTATAATTTTTTGTCTAAATATTATCTAACTTCCACAATTCTCTATATCTTTTTATATCTTGTCCGATCTAGCCCTGAAGAAGACCTGAAAAGTCGAGTCGAAACGTTGGCTTTTAATAAAATAGTTTTGCCGCTATTAAGAGTATTTATGATCGCCACCTCGGACCATCTCCTTCCTCAATAATTTATTATTGTATTTTTCGTTGTATAAATTATTATAATTTATTTGTATTATTAGCCACATAATAAAACTTTGAAGGAAGTAGTTATCCAGATAATTATGGTTCTCTAGTTGAGTGTTTGTAGAGTATCTAAATACCAATTCCAAGCCTTCACATTTAACAAATATATCGTCGGTCAATTTGCAAAAACTCATTTAGGAATATTATAATGAGTTTGAGATAATTGAATTCGAAGTTTCTGATTCATTAAAAATAGTAATTTTATTACATATATTTTGTTATTTTCAATTTTAAATACGTATTCTATTTCCGACAATGAATTAAAATACTTACCATGTAAATAAAATAAGGAAAATAATTTTAAAAATCTGGTGTGTCCAATCACACGACTTTCCTCCTATTTCAGAAAAGTTTTTATATCTTTTCCATGTGCATCAAGAAACAAAAAATAATTGAATTAGATTTATCTTCCTGAAACTTGATCAAAGAAAAGACTTGAGTACGATTTATTTGATAAACTAAAGCAATGTAAACCGGCTTAAGGTACATCATTGTAAAAATTTCAATACCCTCTAATATTGCAGATCAAAAACTTTTTGCCATAGCCTAATTTTGTCACAAAATTATTTCTGTTAAAAGTAGAGGTAATAGTGAAGCTTGTGTGATGCGGGCAACAGATTTTCTTACTTTTACTAAGTTATATTTTTTCTCTCATTCAACCCTTTCTGACACCAGGATATGTACCCATAATCATACATTGGAAATTGAATAGGAGTAACTTCGTTATTAGTTGTCCGAAATGAATCTTTTTTATATAGTTTTGTAGAGAATTTCACCACCTTTCGAAAATGTGTTTTCGGACTCAGAGGGCTGTGGAACGTATAGATCCGTCGAAAACCGCATATCGGAAATTTCACCCGATCACAATACTTTCCTTAACTAATATAGGTAGGAAAGTAATAAATTAAAACATGTGAAGTAATTAGAATACGCTGTATCATCGCTAGTACTGGTTCGATTCCGATGATTTTTTTTTGTTTTGTTGTTAATTTAATTACCTTTTGAAAGTTTTCTAATAAATTTTACCATAGAAAATATACGTAGCGAGTTAGGCCCCAAATTTTTTTTCTTTTCTTCATAACTTGTTTCCTGATTTTTTTTCGGGAATTTACTCCAAGTACGAAAATTGATAGGACAATTATTAAAACATTAAAGGAAAGTTTCATTAAAATTGTTATACCCGTTTTCGTGCTACAGTCTATAGAAAGATATGTTTTTCATTTTTTGTGCGTAAGCTATTGCTCATGGAGCACAGAATTTCTGTCACTGGAATCAAAATCAGTAGTCAAATTCCTACAAAATAAAAAAAGAAGCAGCAAAATCGGTTCAGTGGTTCCTGAGAAAATCCTGGCGTATGTATAAGCTCTGAAACGTATAGATCCGTCGAAAACCGCTTATCGGAAATTTGACCCGATCTCAATACTTTCCTTACCTAGCATAGGGAAATTGAAATATACGAATATTTAAATATTTAAATTTGTGTAGTGGTCGGGTTTCTATCTCTACACATTAAAGCTCTAAGCGAATATATTTCGTCCCATGTATCGGTGCATGTAAACATCCGAAAGAGCCTTCAGGTGTGATAGGAACTTGACTACTACACCATGTTTAAATATTCTTGGCTTTAAATTGTCCTTTCAATCTGCCAAGATATTTCATTAGATAAGGAAGTCCATTCCCTAGGGGTCGATACAATTTTTAAATTTCTGTAATCACTTACTTTTTTAAATTAAAATATTTTTTTAGTTTTTAAAATATTAATAATTCATTTTCATAACATATGCTCACATGATATCATTTCAAATCAATTAATAATCGGGATACTTAAACTATAATAAACTATTTTATCAATGTATTGTCCTCAAATTCTTTCAAAACATTTAAGAGATCTTACTAGTGAGTAATTACTGCCGTTAAGTTAAAGATCGATCATGTCATCTGCTCAAAAAATCTTAACGTGCCTTTTAGCGAATCGATTATACGAAATTTACTTAGTAATTTGACAGAATTTAGAGCTCAAATTATTTCAAAACACTCAAGAAATCACACAGAATATTTTGAGCCATCAAACATAAAAATCTATCTAGCCTTTCGTTCAAAACAGCATTACATACCATTTATCGGGTATCCCGAATACATTACCGTCGTGTGGTTTTGCTTCATAAACACTCACAGGACCTCCTCGGACTTAAAACTCTATGAAGCCTGTCGCTCAAAACAGCATTACAAAGCTTTTTGCAAATTCATTAAACACATCTTATTTAACATACGAGTCTTTAGTTTTAGTTAATTTTTTTTAATCACTAAGAGGATTCCCCTGAATAATTTGAACCACCAAACTTAAAAATTGACTCAGCCACTCTCTCTTAGAAGCGTTACATAGCTTTTAGAGAACGACTCAATCATCGTGCCATTTTACTTTCTAACCACTCACAGAATCTCGCGGAATTATATAATATACTGTTACATAGCCAACGGTTGGATAGGAAAGGTGAGGGTCCAACATCACGCTCAACCGCCAGGTTTTCTCTCTTAATTAATAATTTACTTACGAGTACCCATTCTGACCCACGGCTGATGAAAAATTACTAGTCATCAGCCAGATTCGAACTTGGGAACTTGAGTTCTGGAAGTCAGTGCTCATCCATTGAGCTCCCCCGCTCCAATAATATGTCAAACTTAAAAATCGATCTAGCCGTTCGCTCAAAATAGCTTTATCAAGCTTTTTTCCAAATTGATTAAACATACCTTATATAATTACGGGTCAGCTTTTTTAGCTCAAATTGTTTCAAAACATTCACGGGATCTTCGCTTCGCTTGGTCGGGTAATAAAAGACTCAGTGTCATTGTTGGACCTTGAATTGGTAGAGTGCGTAAATGTTCTAGCTTCTGTAATGAAACCAGATTAATAAGTTTTAATTAGTAATTTTTTTTTAAGTTATAAAAGTTAGCTCTAAAGTCACTCCACTATATATATATATTTGTTTTTATTATATATTTATTGAATAATAAAACAGTCTGCCACACTCAATGGCAATAAGTATAAGAGCTAAAATTATCCACTCATACAATATATACATACAAGAAAAATAATTGAAAGTAATTACAGAAAGAAAAAAGAACAAAAGATACTCCACTATAGAAAAAAAATCCAAATTATTCTGATATTTTCTTTATATAATATATATATATATATATATATATATATATATATATATATATATATATATATATATATATATGTGTGTGTGTATATATCTAGTATATTTGCTATTTTTATTAATATTTACCAATTTTTATCTTATTCAAACTATCATTGAGCTTATTCATCTAATTTTATTCTTCAATGTTTATTTTATATAAATGTTCTTTAAAATAATTCTCACATAAATTTATGTGGTACTCAAGTATTTCCTATAATAATTCAATAATCCCTTCCGCCCAAATACAACAAATGATACGTAATATGTAACAACTCGTTTTATGTCTGTTTTACTATATTATCAACAAAGTAGATAAAACTTTGCTCAGATTCGTCTTTGATTTATGAAAATTGCATCCCTCTTTTTCCCCTCCGACCTTGGAATTTCTCTGAAAAGGCAGATTCTTCATCAAAGTGAATTATAGGTATAGACTTAATGTACAAAGTGATTTATTCATTAGTCACACTTAGTTCAGTCACTACAATGTATAATTTTTAAGATTATTTTCCTTCTTCCGTTTTCATCTGAGTTTATATTAATAATTGATTTTAATGTGATCTCTAGAATATTTCAAGGTATGACAACTTCTGACTTACACATTATTATTACTTTATTTCTCATGATATCATTAAATCATTCATTTTAAATTCACATATTTATTTTTATACCTCTTAAGGTTTTATTAAGTCTACTTTGTCTATATGTTCTCATATAAATTCGCTAAATAAAATAAAATATAGTAAATAAACATTGGCTCACCGGTTACCAGAGACTGCGTGAAGCGGTGCGTCTGCTACGGTGTAGATAACGTGACTGAGCCTTCAGACTATACAAGCGGCCTTAAAAAACCAGGTTTCTAATTAGCCTTCTTTTTTTCCTAGATCAATTAGAATTTTGTTATAATATTTCATAATTAAAACAGATTGTTGCTTTGTATTTCGGTAATTATAATATAATTTTTACAAATATTTGAGGAAAAAATTAATTATAAATGAAGATGCTTTGCATCTATGAAAATTAAAGTTATATAAAAATAATATGATAAAATTATAGTTATAATAATATAGCCCAGTGAGAACTCTCACATTAGATTTTTATTTCTCCTAATACATTTAACATATAATAAATAACAACGAAAAATATTATTTTATTTATTCAGTAACAGTTTAAGGTGCCAAGTACGACATCAAAGGTTAGAGGCACGAAAAATATTAATTGGTAAATAGAATATCACAATTTCAATAAACGAAATTTAAATCATTTTTATTTAATTAATAATTAATTAACTTTAAATCAATTTACTTAACAATTGATACTCTTGTACCATAGGAAAATATCCTTTCAGTTTAATAGTTAATGAATGAACTAATGTATAGTTGCGTAAGAGTTGTAATTAGTGCCCCGATATACTCACATGTCTCTCACCCTAGACTAAGTTAAAGTGGCTCTTTCCCTCCTTTCGAAGACAATATTTCCTAGGAATGTATCTTTATGAAATCATCAACAATCATCGTCCTTTTTACGCCTAATACTATCTCCAATTCAACTCCTGAGTCCATTCCCTTTCCACAAGATCTCGACCTTCTGACCTTTACATCCCTTCTCGCAATTCTGTCAATTTCTGGAATTCTCTGCCTATCGAAATTTGGTATTCCCCCTCCATATCTACATCCGAAACCCTTCTATTCCAATTTGTATCCCCAAAACAGCCAGATACTTCCTAAGCTTTTGATATTATATATATTTCTATTATATCATTCATCATCAAATTATAGTACTATTCTATAAACTTCACTAGGGGCATTAAAATATCATCCTACTCTTAATGCCATTGAATGCATCAATTGTTTGTTTTTTTTTATTTTTTTTTATTCTAATACAATTAAATCTGTACCCATAGTTACATAAAGATAATGATGTGTTTAAATATTATTCATTATTTAAATACCCTGACATTTTATATTGTCAGATTCGTCCTTCCTTTGTAAGCAGAAACACAGAAATTATTTTAAAGAAGAACTCAATGTATTTTTTATTATTTTTTTCTCAAAAGTATATAATTATAAATTTTCCTACAATACATAGCTCTAAGGGTCTTGTCATAGTTTTAAGTGTTTTGTATATAGTTTTATTTTCTGTATATATAGCTTGTTTAACTAATATTTTCTTTACTCTTTCCTTTTTTTTAGACCAGATGTAGTCTTTCAATTCTGTACTATTGTGTTATTCTAAAGGGACTTTGTCCCGGAATAAACTTATTCTTTATTTCTATTTCTATATCTAATAGTTAAGTAATATAGCCATCCCTGATCTTATTTTAGACCATAATTGAACTCGATCTTGAGACCTTCACCCCTCAAAAAAAAAAAGTCTCAAGAGTTTATAGTAGGTATACAAATTATGAGTGATAATTAGAATAATCAACATAATGATTGTAAAACGAACAATATAATTTTATATATAAAACGAAACAAACTATATACGTTTAGTATATATATATATAAGTTTTTTAAATATATTAGATAAGTAATTGAATATATTACCTATTTATATTTTATTTTAAAGTTTGAGGAGATGAGATGAATACTCATTCTTCGATGCTTCAAAATTGCCACGGGAAATTTAATAAAATCTTCACTTACAAATCGATGGATTCAAATAGATGAATTATAAAACAATAGAATATTTTGCTACATATAGTTACCATTGACTATGAACTAAAATTTGAACAGTGGAAATATAGTGGGTAGGTGAAATACTTGCTTACTTAATTCTAAGGCTTTGCTTAGCCTTCAAGTCGACTTTTCCTACTTTCTTAATTGATTTTAGCTTAAATATTTTATTCATTCGTGCAAATTAGATGTCATGGATTTGTACTTTATTTTCCTTCTTCGAAATATTAAGAGAGCGAAGCCATATTCTCGCCTCTTCTCTTTTTTTCTCAGCGGGGTGATCACCTACCTCGTTCTCTTCTCCCCACTACTGAATTCTGCGCCTGTGGTAACAGCCTTGGTTTTTATCTATCTTATTTGCTAAAGGTAAAGAACTCAGTTAATGCAGAGAGTATATAATCTATACCTGAAAACCGTTTTTATTTTTATTAATTAAAATTAAATTAAATAAGAAATATGTGGTCTCACCTTCGAGTGTGTCAAAAAATTCCCGTACCTGGGTAGAAGTGAATTCTAAAAAATAAGATTGCTGCTGAGGTGTACAAGAGAATCATGGATGGAAACCGGGCGTACTATGCCAACCTAAATATTTTCCAATCATCGCTTCTGTCACGAGAAACAAAGATTAGACTATGTAAGACTTTATTAAGACCTATTGTGACTTATGCAGCATGGACCCTTTGTGCAAGCACAATTATTATGCTGAATATTTTCGATAGAAAAATTTTTAGAAGAATTTATGGAGCTGTTTGTGAAGAGGGTGTATGGAGGTATCGGAAAAATGCGGAGCTATGTGAACTATATAATAGAGGCAACATAGTTCATTTCATTATAACTAGGCGCATGGAATGGTTAGGCCACATGGTTAGAATGGCCAATAGCAGGATGCCTTTAGGGCATTGTTCTCTACAATGTATGGCACAATAAGAAAGGGAAGACCAAGGAAAAGATAGCTGCAAGATATTGTTGAGAGCGACCTTAAAACTCTGGGTGTGAGAAACTGGAAGGGAAGAGGAAGCAATAGAGATGATTGGCATGCTATAATTCAGGAAGCCAAGGCCCACCCCGGGCTGTAGAGCTGCATAATAAAGTAAAGTAATTAAAAATATCAAACAGTTTCATTTTATATTATCCAAGGAACCCAAAGGACTTAAGAACCATTTTCTACCCTTTATCTTTTCAATATAGTTTTAGTTCGTCGAAGACTATCATTAATAGCGATATTTTAATTTTTGAAACCTAAACATGTTATAAATATCCCATGGTCCACCACCATATCAACTAACATGCTTCCAACCACAATTATAATTAATCTTAAGAACATTACATTTTAGGACTTTAAGATACAGAGCCCAGTATAGTCCTCTTATCTATTTTATGTTTGTGTTTTTTTTATCAAAAAATCGTAAATCTGATGACTTAGGAATCTTGTCATCATTTTCGAAATCTGTATATTTTCTTCATTCATTTAATGTTTTTAATGCAGCTGCTTGGGCTTTACGTACTTTTTTTATGACACTGATCGATAGGCTTTCATCTCTATCGGGCAGCTCGCTTCTTAAACAAATCATTTGTGACTTGGAACGCATAAATTTCACCACCTCACCCAGGCTTTGTAAAGTGGTTAAGTAGGAGTGAATGCTGGAAGTGTTCGAAATTTCGTATTCATAAGATCTAAACGCTATGACGAAATATATTTTTTAACCAGATTATTAATTGGCGTTGGATACCTTTTTTAATCGATAAATGAACAATAGGTCAATAGGTCAAAGTACTGCAGACAGCCACTACACATCCTGGTTGAGAGAACTGACGCTCATACAAATACACTATTTTTTCTTGTAGTACCATTTCTCGCTTTCCCGGGGGAGAGAGTAGCGAAGTAATACTAGGGTTAATGTCCTCCCTTCCCGGCACCGGGACGCAAACTCTTAATTATTTTATCATGTAAACTTTACTCTATTTGTTGCACGGCAATCCTTGTTTAGGCACACGCATTAGTCCGAATTCTACAAACACAGATACACTAATAAGAGTAAACACTGTGTAGACTAAACTCAATATATAAAGTTATTGACTTGATATTGTATGAATTGAGGAACGCGGCGGTCGAGTGAGTTAAGGCGCCTACACAATATTTTATCAAGAGTTCAAATCCCGTTCGTGGACTTTTTTGTACGCACACAAAAAAACAAAACAAATAAATAAATAATTAATAATAAATTGAAATAATTTACTCCCCCTAATCGACAACATTGACCACCGCGACGCGTGTTCGATTCCCGCAAGGAGACGGTAACGTTATAACCATAACATTCATATGGAGGTCAGCGAACCCTGTGTATTAAATCATAGATCCTGGTCCTCCAGGTTGGGGGTTGGATATAGGGCTGATATACCCTATACCATAAAAAACTGGTTTGATGAATTGAAGATTGAAGAAAAAGATTGCCAAACCATCTTGGAGGAAAGTCACTGATTGAAGAAGGTGTGAAATGTGATCGCGTCCGGTTAGCACATCAAGTGCTCTCTGAATATCTCGAAGAAGAGAGAATAAAAATATTACTAATTAAATTCATACGTTTCAAATCACAAATGAATTGTGTAAGAAATGAGCTGCCCGATCGGGATGAAAGCCTATCGATCAATATTATAAAAAAAATACGTAAAGCACAAGCAGCTGCATCAAAAACATTAAATGAATGATGAAAATTAACGTATTTCGAATGTAATCACTGGCTCCTATAATAGCCCAAAGCTGCTGAAGAAGACTCATGACTTAAATAGTCGAAGTCAACAGGCGTAGGATAAAAAATATATATTGTATGAATTCAATATTCTATTGTTACCCAGTCATCTTCCCTATGGAGCCGACCCAGAGGGAAAAGCAAGTCAGATGGCATCAAGGACTCAATCTTTTAAATATTTTATACATTCTACTTCAGCCATTTGTGGAAGATTCACGAGGGAAATATCAGTACGAATTCTGGCCGATTAGATCTGATTACTCCGTATTATCCTGGAGAAAATTGCGTCCATACGTATCACCTATTTAACAGTTACGCAAACCTTTATCAAGCTATTAGAGAACTAAACATTTTAGAGAAACTGATTTGACTGGCTAAATTAATCTAATTTAATCGTCTGATGTGAGCTTTGCAACTCTTCAACGTAGCATTGAAGAAAGCTATGCGAGATGCACATATCCAAACAACAGGCACGATGTTTAATTGAATGTTTCAAATCCATGGTTACATAGTTACATAGATCGGCTAGATAATGTCGGTAGTTCTCAGGCTGCAGTATCTGAGGACTTGCCAAAAACCGGTCAACTAGGAATGCGTCTAAATGAAATGAAAACAAAGTATACGACCTCCGAGCTTGGCACACTGATATATACTGTACAGTTTGGCTCCTATAAGTTTGAAAAAATGGATGGATTCGTCTACCTGGGATCCCTGATTACTGCGGGTAATGCCATCTCAAAGAAAATTTAGAGGAGACAAGTTATTGTTAACAGTTGTTGTTTTGGGGCTAGAAAGGCATTAATGTAGTAAATATCTGTCAAGGGAAAACAAAATTACGGCTATGTAGGACATTAATCAGACTAGTTCGGAGATACGGCGCGGTGTCATACGTGACATCACGGACGAATGAGTGAAGTTTGTGAACTTTGGAGAGAAAGATCCTGCGCATTTTTGGACCTAGAAGAGTCGGTCAAATATATTTCAGAAGAGGGTATGCAGAGATATGATGAACCTAACAACAGCATGCAGACTAGCAGAAATCATCGGAGCATGCCAGGAACTACTGATGGTATGTAGAGCCAATGGAAGAAGAATAAGAAGGTCATGTGCGAATAGAATTGGTTTAACCTCACTAGACAAACTGAATCTTAAAACCATTTATAGCCAGAGAATAGTGAGTTGGTTAAGCACTGATCTTCATGTATTCTTGAGAATGTTTAAATCCAATTCGTACCCTATAGAGTTGGTTTGTAATAAATTGTTAGCCAATCGAAAGCATTTGATCCCGAATAATAATTTATTATCACGTAGCATGTTTATCAGATTAATGTTGTCAAACGCCTTTAGCATATCGAAAAATTCTTTATTGACATTTAGCATTTTAACTTTCTTTATAATTTTTTCAAATTTCTTTAATATATCCTTATTAACTTTTGTCAATTTTAATGGATGATATAGAAGTGGTGTGGAAATATATTGAGGAAAAGAGTCGAAATGAGGTGGCTTTGTTAAATTTATTTATTGACTTTATATTATTTAGTATTTTAACCACTGGGAAAATTTACATTGTAGTTTGAGGTCCACTTATATCTTTCATAGTTCTTTAATACGAGAAAAATAATGGTTGATAGTAGGCTCTAGAGCTCGTCGAAGGATGAACTTAAATGTCCACACTTTTTCGGTTGCCAACTAATGTTTTCCAAATAAATTATTAATATAATCGCTTCAATTTGTATTATACATAGTAATTGGATTTTGGAAGGGGGAGGGGATTAAACTCGGACATAGAGGTGGGAATTCCTACGTCTTATCCACTTTTTATATAGCTATACAACATTTTTCGGTATTTATTATGATTTCATTCATTTATTTATATTCAATTTGCCACTACGTAGTAATGCACCAAGGAAATGTGTTGCCGTTTATACTGTCTTCTTTTATTCATCATCATTGTTTACATTGTCATCAGGAGATCTCTTGGCAACTGCCCTTTTAGTCCTGGTTGAGGCTCACCAGGTAACAAGGAAGAAGAAAGAGATAGGACGAGAGGGTTGGGTGATTGAGATTAGAAGAATGAAATTTTGTGTACTTATTATGTATGTAGGATTTTACTTTTGGTTTGTTCATTTCTGTGTTTATGGTGTGTTTTGTAAGAAACCAAGGAACATTGACGATTTTACGAAGTATTTAGGATTGTGTGGTTTAAATTTTGTTTACGTGTGTGTTTTGAGGAATCTCAAAGTTCTGCTCCGTATGTCCAACCATGTTTTAGTGTGGTGGTGTAGGTAATTCACATGTTTTCTAAGTTGAGTGGAGATCTGTAGTCCAAAAGATGTGACAGTTATTTGCATCGTCTGGTCAGTTCTTGTTTTATTATTTTTTTATGTATGTTCCAGGTTTTAATCCAATTATAGTCCGAAATAGGAGAACTGGCTTGTTGTATATTGACACACTACGACACGAAAGCTTCCTCTGGGAGAAGCTGACTTCTGAATAGTTGACTTTCTGCCATTTATTTTCATTTGATTTGTGGAGGTGATTTTGAAGGACCATTGAAGCGATAGTAGGATTTTAGTGAGAAGAAGGAATTGCCATATTGTCAGCTAAGCTATAGAGAATGGTGCTAGGGTGCTCAGGGATATCATATGTGTAGTGGAAAATGATAAGAGGGCTTAAAACACTACATTGTAGTACTCCAGCCAGTTATGATTTAAAAAGAAAATGAATAAAACATTTTGTGTTATATTTAAACATTGCATTTTTATTTTATGATACTCTTTGCCTAGTACTTTTCTGAGACTGTCATATAAGTTTTTAATAAATAAAACAATAACAATTTCTTTGGCTTAGTCTACAGCCAGTTTCCTGAAGGTGCCGTCAATTCCGTAACTGTTCTGGGAGTCTGGAGGGCGCTTCTTCTCGTCTGAGACATGCTTTGTAGTTTGCAGGAACCATTCTCTATTTTCCTCCAGTTGATCCATCCAGTAATCTAGAAAATAAATTCCCAATTAAAAAAGATTATTCCATGTATATTAAACCTTAATACCGACAGCCACACTGCCGAAACCCAGTTAGGAAATTTTTCTTGGAAAATGAAGTTTTGAGCTTTTCAAGTCAATCTTGTCCTGGCACATATTCTGATTCCTAAAAATGAAATCTACGACATACCATTTTCTCCATGGCCTTTTGTAATATGTAAATTAAAAAACATCAAACTAATTTGATTTAAAAACCTGTGAGTTACAGTGAATCTTACAGAGATTGTGTCGTTACCGAGAAAACTTAATGAAATGCGCAATTAAAAATGTTAATATAGAGTACATATAAATATAGAATGTATTATGCGTTTTTCGCATAGACTGAACTATCAAAAATGATTATTGGATTGCCTTCCATTTAAACATATAATTATCGTCAGAGATTGAGTTTAATTCATAAGCCATTTAATTTTTTTATTTGATGTTTTGTTGCCTCCACCCTGTAGGGTCATTGGCAACGCCTTTAAATTACACTCTGTTGTAGATTTTAATCTCTTTTAAAAACCTTAAAGTTTTTTTGACTCCACTTTCACTGTCTTGTAGATTTCGTTTTGGACTCTGTGCCATGTTTAACTTTTTCCTTGTAGGTTCAAATGAAGGACAGTCTTGAATAATGTGCTTCCTTGGACATTGGACATTGCAGCTCTCGCAGGTCAGAGGATCATGTCCTCTTAGTAGGTAGCAGTGCGAGAACTCACAATGTCCAATTCGCAGTCTGCAAAGGGCTGTCTCCTCTTTTCGAGATGATCTGTGAGAGGTTTCCCATTTTAGGCATTAATTTATTTCACGGATATTGTATCTAGCTTTCTTGCCATGTTGGCTGCTTGATCGGCTTGTTAATTACCGATGGTCCCGCAATGTGAAGGGACCCAAACGAACACTACTTCTTTGCCCTTCTCCTTAGAAGCCCCCAAACGTTTCTTACATCTTTTGCGAGAGTGGTTTTGGGTCTGGTATGTTCAATGGCTAGTAATGAACTCATAGAGTCTGTCACCACTGCCCAATTATTAGTTTCGCTTGTCTCTATGTGTTTAAGAGCTTCTCTAATTGCTATCATTTCACCAGTAAATACTGAACAAGCCTCCGGAATTTCGAATAGTTTTTTAGTATTATAATTTACAACGGAACATCGTACTTCCTTATCTACTTTTGAGGCATCCGTGTACAAGATGTGAAACTCCTTATATTTTTCCAAAGTTTCTAAAAATAGTTTTTGAACTTCAACTAGAAGTCTCCAAACGAAGTGATCTACACACCAGCTGATTACCTAGAACTTATTAAGAATTCGTGAATTAAACCATATCTATATGAACTTGATAAAGAAACTTTCATGGACTACTCCCAAATAGGGTGTATGCACACCATGGGATCCTCCCCTACAGTGGGAGGCAAAAAAAGTGAATAACAAGTGTGACCAAATACTCACTCACTTTCCAGTCAATTTTTTTACAAATTTTCATTTTGAAGTATCGTGTCTCTAGATTTTGGAAACTGCTGGAACTGCTATTGTTCCTATCATGATTTGATCATTATTAACAAATTTATGGGTATTAATACAATAAATTTGATTTCTTTTACGTAACTAATACCTGTTTTTTAAAAAAAGGAAAAAGCTGTAAATTAGATGTAAGTTTATATATGTATATCGATTTACGAAAATCGATTCAAAAGATTAATTTGGAGTAATAGGATCAAAAAGATGCACAGAGCATGTTATCTTTGTCTTTTCTATCTATCTATCTATCTATCACGTGGCGCTATAACTTGCATGGGTGAGTCTTGGCCTCCTCAATGATTTGCCTCCAATTGGCCCGATTTCGTGCTGCCGCTTTCCAGCCTCTGATCTGTAGCAGGCTCGGTGCGTCTATTGCCACTCCATCAACCCACTGAAGCCTTGGCATACCAGGCCGTCGTGGACGGTGAAGGGCGATGTCCACTACTTTTCTAGGAATTACTTCGCCTTCATCCTAGCGACATGGCCAGCCCAACTGAGCTTCTCCAGTTTTATAAACTTTACAACGTCCATATCTCCGTAAAGGTCATAAAGCTCCCTGTTCCTCCTAATCGTCCATCCATCTCCATCTCTCACTGGACCAACTATTCGCCTTAAGATTTTTCTCTCAAAAATCAAAAGACCATTTTCATCACTTTTTGAGATGGTCCAGGATTAGGAAGCATATGTAAGAACTGGGCGTATGAGAGTCTTGTATATGATCAATTTAGTGCCCCTGGTAATGGATTTGATGCGGGGAGTTTTCAGTAAGGCAAAATATGTCTTATTTGCCGACACCAGTCTTTTCTTTATCTCAGCAGAGTCATCGTTGATAAGACAGAGATACAGACAAATTAACTTAGGTAGTATATACAAAAGAAAAACATAGTCTAATAGTTCGAATAATTTTTCGTTACCATTTAGTTCGGTCGAGGATTTGTCATTTCCTCCGTAATCGGAGGGCAACATCTCCAATGGCATGTAGTTTTTTAGGAATGACGCTCCTTCGTTGACAACTTTTATCTAAAAAAAAAAAGTAACATGACAAAAGCAATAATCACTGTATGAAACTAAAAAAAACAAACGCTGCAATGAATAATAAAAGGTATCGAATTTGAAAACCAATGATTTCGCTGTAATATTAATTTCTAAAACAGTGTTTATATATATTTTATAGTATCGCATTACACATTATAGTCTAATTTCATATAAAACGTATGTTATACTGCAATACGTAGACATATTTTGCAGAATCATATCCCATGAATGTCTTTCAGCTAAAACTATGGAAGAGATGGGTGTACATTCCAGTGAAAGTTCCTACCCCACAACCAGTCATAAATGTTTCCTTTAAAATATCATATTGTATACTATCGATTTAATATAATATAGTTTAAAATATAGCGTCCAAAATCCTTTCGTTTCTAAAACTAGGGCAGATACTGTACTAGAAAATTGTCAACCTATGTTTGTTAACCTATACATTTTCAAGTAGAACATTGAATCACCTCTTTTTTACTTTACTTATCTATACATGGAATATATAGTAAAGGACAATATTGCGATCGTAAAAATTTTCAACGGAAATACACGTTTTGAGGATTCGTATATTAATATAATAACCTAATGCTGCATTTTATAACAAATAAAGTTTTAATTATATACGGTTTGTGATCACATTCTCAAGTTCTTTGTTGTAATTCTTAGGCGTTCTGCAGCACCCTTTAGAAATACTTCGACCAATTCTTTATTTTAAAAAAAGTGATATGAATTTACGTATAATTTATTTGAATGGAGCAGGAGTGATATTAATCTTGCTTGCTTAGTTATAAGCTCCTTTGCAAATAAATGATATATAATAATTATAAAGCGCGTATGAAACTTTTATATATATATATATATATATATTATTTTATTTTTTCAAAACGTTGTAAAAGTATGAGGTTCGAGGAATTCCTTGGGTATAATTTCATAAGAATACATTAGTTTTTAATATCTAATTTTATAATTCAAAATCTGTATTTATGTATCGTTTTATAAAATGTAATGATTTGGTATTCAATATTAAACATCAAGAATAAGCGTATATTTTCTTAACTATATACTAACTTAAAAATAATTAATTTACATCATATAATTTGGTTTGTAAAATCATAGTTACCCTGTCAAATATCTTGGCTTTCACCGCAGGCTTAATTAAGTTGTTAATTAGAATTTCAACATAAGAAGGAGCGTTGATACAAAAGCATCCATTTAACTTAACTGGATATCCTTCCTGGAATTTAATCGAATAATAATTGTTGTATAAATTGTTGCTAAGTTTCAGAAAATCTGTAGAAATATTTATTTTATGGCAACTAAATAAATAATTAATATTCATATTTTTATTTATGCATAGTGAACTAAAGTATATCAACCTCTAGGGTCATTTTCGAACAGGAAAAAAGTTAATAAACATTATGAATATTATAAAACATTTTAAATTATGACTATTTTAACTATTAAAAAAAACTGATATTTAAAACTGTATTTCTATATAAATACATCAATTAAATGTATACACAGGAAAATACAATAAAAATACAATCACATGAAAACGCTTGTTGAGAAACTACCCACCTTTAGCACTCTACTAATATGTCTACTTAAGGAGATCACGAGGCCATCTTCTTTTCAGACGCCACGGAGGGTTATCAGGAATCGAAACGGAAGCAAGGTCAGAAACGAGAGGATGATTAGTAAGTTTATTGTGGAAGAATAGGTATCTAAATTGGGCCAAATCGGAAACAGACGGAACATTAAACTTTATGGATTATTTTATTTGTGACAGAGTGGCGCATGAAGGATTTTACAAAGAATTTTGTATTGTGAGAATTGGATACGAGAGGAATTACTTAAAAATTAATATCACTGAAGTTTGAAATTTAAAAGTAACAAAAACGTCAAGTTTCAAACTATCCTTTCATTCTTTCTCTGGCATCCTATTTCCCATCCTATTCGCTGGTATCCTATTTTTTCTCCGTGACCTGGTTTAGATAATTCAATAAATTAGGTCGAAAAAAAAATAGTTTCCCCTCTTCATCCCTGTGACCTCCAATAATCTGATGACAACTGAAAGTCATGAAGTACTTTAGGGCCAACCATAAATTGCCAAAACGTAATAAGAAGAAATATATGTCTTTACATATTTGTGTTTATAAATGATATTCCTCTATGACCGCGTCTGGTAACGATTATGAACAGCTGCAGAGATCAGGTACTCCAAACTTGTATTGCCTTGTAAACAGTTACCTGCTGGGCAAGAGATGTAAAGATTCTCATACAAGCTAGAAATATTATATTCTATATTATAATATTTCAATATATACAATATATACAATATATATATAGAATAGAATATATATATTTATTTGTTTTGGGGACTGAATCCGTACAAATACAAATAGAGTATATATACACATTTTGATTATTACAATATAATATTAATAAATTAATTTTCACTACTAAAATCAAAGTAAAAATGGAATGGTACGCACATTGTACTTATTACAATATAATATTAGTAAATTAATTAATTTAACTCAGTCAAAATATTCTTTTTATACTATATATAAAAATATATATATTTTATCTACACAAAACAAATAAATCAGCAAGGAATACTACCCATCAATTAATATAATATAACCTAATATAATTTAACACAATCTAATACAATACAATATAATATAATATAACATTACATAAAACTATCTAATAATGTAATGAAATATAACTCTATAACCACAATACCACACCATGGGACATATGTACCTATTTATGTATATATGTATATGTATATCTATTTATGTATGTATGTATACATATGTACCTACACCATGGGACCTAATTATTACACCCGCCACATTTTATGATGCCACAGGGTACTACAACTACACGATATCACTAATACAACGCAGATCGGAATATTCTACAAACAAACAATATATTAAAAAAATTTTAATAACTTTTTTTTTTCCTATGCTATAGTCATTGGTCATTCGACCATCCGACATCTTGCTGCCCAGTATAAGTTTGATTTTTTTGAGTGATCATTTATATATGTTTTATTCCTTATATCTGACAAAGCAGGACATTTGTTTAGGTGGTCTGCATCCATTTCCGCTTGTTCACATAATTTACACCTAGGATCCTCAGCCACGCCTATCTTGTGGAGATGATTTTGTAGATAGTTGTGACCAGTGGCCATTTTTTATAAACTATAACTATCTAAACATTTTGGATAAATTCTCTTCAATTGAGGCTATAAACAGTATAATAATATAAACTGGATATCTGCCCTCTAGTTATTGTTTTTATAAATTATGTAAACATGGCAGAATCCATTGAATTTAATGTGGGTAATAGTTCTAGCCTATAGGAATTATAAATAGAACAGGTTATGAAAAAATTATATAAATCTTCTCTTTCGTTCAAATTACATAATGAGCATAAACTTTCCATTTTGGGTGTTGCAATAAGTTTTTTTACGACTCAGCTTAATAAACTTTATGTTTGAAGTTCTTATCTGCGTTGTAAGGGGCTGGAGATGTAAGAACGGCTTGAGTTTCTAAATCTGGATCAAAAACTAATCTGTAATTTGGGCAGTAGGTAGAGGATTCCATATATATATATATATGGGGATGGGGTAGCCTTGCAGGCTAAGCCGCTTGCAATAGGTAATCAAAGTTAAGCAATGCCGAGTGTGGCTAGCACTTGGATGGGTGACCGTTGATCAAGAAAAACCACGTTGTCCGAGATTCCTCCCCCCTCCCAGTAATAGTGATAGAGAAGCTTATTCACGCGCTATGTTCAAGAAATTAAAATAAATAAAATAACAAAATAATAATACTAAAGGTAAATGTATAAAACGAAATATTCTAAAAAAAACAACAACTAAAATAACAACCTACATTCACACATACATAAGCTGTACTTGCCAAAACCCTTATTGCCATCAGCCAAATAAAATTAAAAAAGTATATATCATATGGTTTAATAATGTGGCTTAGTTATCTTTTCTGAAAGTGTATCCCAGCTCACCGAATTATCCTCTCTGAAAGAGCTTTTTACTCCTACCCTCCATGCACGGCAACAGGACTTAATTTTTTAAATTTTGAAACATAGTACTTCAGGGATCAATAAATTTACATTAATAATTGGATACATTAAATTCAATAGGAAGTAATACAATATAATTGTATTGATGAAGTTGAAAGTGATTTCGATGATTATTATTTTATCATTGCTCCTGTTAGGAAATTCCTGGAACAGTTATAATAAAATCCCATATCAGCATATACATGGATAAATAACTTCACAAGAGTACCAGTATGACCTTAATTAATTTTTATCCCATACGCTTTAAGTTCTTTAAACAACCTTAATTACCTGATTCTTTAGAAATTAAGGTGTTTTCATTATTAGAAGGATGATTCGTTTTTTGTGCTATATAGTATCTAACATATGTCCAAACAACCTGTGTTGCAAGATAATACGTAAATATGGATTATTCATGAGGCTTACCTGAAAAGCATTCAAACAAGCGAGTATGGCGGTGGGACTCAACATGGAGAACTCCGTAGAAGACATTCCAGCACTGTCATAGACGATATAAGTTCCTGCTCCACACAAATCGGGCCACCGTTTCATGCGGAGTTCCAGAAGCATCAGCATCCGAGTCACTTCGTGCATGTGGTCAAACACTTTGGTAAAGCAATCATCGTTCATTGACACAAAAAACACTTTGTAACCCTTAGGGGTATTGTTCGACAAGAAGAACTGGTTCCTATGTAACAAAGAAATAACTAATGAGATCAAAAATCAAAGGAACAGACAAAATACGTTATTAGGTTGTTCTTGAAACATTTCAAAATATATTTTCGAGTCTCTAATATAACAGTTAGGCAATAACCAGACAAGGTTTCACATCCAACTTTGGCATTAAAACCTACAGCCTACATTTTGTACAGTACTCGATTTTACCGATGACCTATTGGCTGAGATATTCGCTGCGGATGACTGGGATTGTTTTGCACCATCAACATGAATATTATTCTAGAAAAACCCAATAAACGAGAATAGAAAGACGGCCACACCGAGCGATGAGGATATTGAAGTTGAAGGGTCAGATCCTGGAATAGGTGCAAGCTTTCAAATATCTAGGTGTCTGGATCAACGAAATTGGCTATATCGATGGCAAGGTGTCTCAAAGACTGGGAGAAGCTGGAAGAATGGAACACCTCCTTAGGATTGTGTATGGAGAGAGCAGTCAGGATAACATTAGATAGAAGGATAGCGATCTAATGTGCGAGTACTCTCTGGCCATGATAGTTTTGTTATATTTGAGAAACTGAAGGAATCATTCAACGTTATCCAATATTAATGTAGGAATTATTTATGTTATATTTAACTCTCCTAGCTTCATTTCCATTCATAAATATAATTTCATCTTATTATAATTTGGAGATCTGTGTTCCAATCAAAGTGGTAGGTATAAGAAGGAACAATGATTATAAAGGGAGGAGGCAATTAATTTCAAGCTAGGAGATTTAGTATTTTTTTAATAAGTATTATCAATCAGAATGTTAAAATACCAACAGCTAACCTGCTGCAGTTAATAAATTTTTTAGAACATAGATTTCTACATTTATTACTAGTCTATTTTACATTTTTTCCATGTTGGACACCTAGTTTCTTGATGGATATATGGTCATGATACCAATGGAGTGACATAAAATTTCTTGTAAAATATAATGTAATTATTATATGAACATGAAAAAATCTTATTTATAGATTAAGAATAAAGAAGGATTGAATTTAACATGAATTACAAGACTCAATTTAAAAAAAAGTAGTTTTATTAAACTGACCTGAAGAATGGAAAGGGTTGATCCGTAAAGGTTACTTCCTAATTAATTAATTAATTAATTTCTACGTCATTTCAGTAGATTTTAGATCAGAATGTAGTCATTAACGATTTTGTATCTTATCCTCTTTTATGAAAACTAACATACAAATTTTGAATCTTTCGACATTTGAATCATATGTACGAACGGAAATGCTTCAAATATTAAATAATTCTGTAACAACTACTTATGTTGAAAACGGGGCACATACATCGTCGGAACCATATTTAAGTAACGAATGCGAAAAATCGCATTTTTCAATTTCGTTCGTTTACCATGGTACTCCATGACTACCTTGTGGCGAAATTTCGAATCTGACCGGTGACCGGAAGACCGGAATCAATAATGTAATTTTTATAAATTTAAACATTTGTTGGATATGTAGGTAGATTTAGTAATGACTAATCATAATCGATGGTTTATAATAATAATAATAATAAAAGGCTTAGCGAACCCGAAGGTTCGATGCCGACACGACCAATCGCCCACTACACACCTCCCTCCACCGTTCGCCGTCCAAACCCAGTCCCTTCAGATCGGCTTTAATGCAATCTTCCCACCTTCGCTTCGGTCTACCCCTCGGACGCTTACCATTCGGCACCGCACATATTAACCTTTTAGGAATTCTCTCGTTACTAAGCCCAACAACTTTACAAGCCCATTTGATTAGCCGCGATGAAATTACCTCAATTATATTACCCGAATACAGCTCACGCAATTCGGCGTTGTGTAACCGTCTGAACTCTCCGGTTAACTCATCCTTCTTCGGTCCGAATATTCTACGCAATACTTTATTTTCAAAAACCTTAAGACGCTGCTCATCCCTTAATGTAAGCGGCCAAGTTTCGCATCCATAAAGAACTGTAGGCAAGATAATTGTTTTATAGATTCTAATTTTTAAGTTCCGGGACAAGAGGCGCGAACTAAGTAGTTTTGTCACAGAAAAATAACAAGCATTTCACGCCTTCAGTCTAACCTTAATCTCTTCTTCAATTTCGTTTTTTCTAGTTATCGTAGAACCTAGATACCTAAATTTCTCTAACTGTTCAAACATATTACCATCTATACCGATATCACCAGTAGTAACACCATTTTTGCAGCTAACCATATACTTTGTTTTATCCACGTTTATTTCGAGTCCTAGTTCTTTACCGGCTTTCATTAACGTTGTCGTATTTAATTTTATAGTTTCAACGTCTTCGCTTAATAGTACCAGATCATCAGCATAGCCCAGCACAGATGTTGTCCCGCCCAGATCCAACCCTTTCTCGGTACGCATTACCTCCCTAATGGCATGTTCCAATGCCAAATTGAACAGGACAGGCGAAAAAGAATCCCCCTGTTTTAAACCCGAACGAAAATCGATGGTTTACATTGGACAAATACAGATTCCTTAAGTTAACGTATCGGAGGCAATGAATACTTTATAATTAATACTTTTATTCATAATGTCTGCTACAAATTTCATCTAATATACAGAAATATATTATAATATAATATATGGGTTGAATACAAGAGTACACTCCAGGTCTCCAGGCAAGAGTGATTATCCCTGAGATCATACGGGTAATATACTCTGCAGTAGTCGGGGAGAGTGAAGGAATTCTGGGAGGTCCGAAGATGGCTACAAAGGAAATTATCAATAATTGTTATTCTTAATATAAGGTCTGTGAGAAAGAGCCTTTTGCTGAAATCTGTTATTATTCCCTAAGTCTTGATAGTGGGTCTTGTTGTGTCCAGTCAGTGCCTTTTAGATAACTACGTCTAAGCTATTAGAGATAGCATGCCAGGCAATCTAGGGACAGCTTTGTCCTTTTATCCTTTGAGTTATGGACATTGTTAATACAATACATGGTTTATCAATTGGCAAACTCAATTATTAAAACAAAGGTTAAATTAATATTATTATTTGTCACGGATTAAGTCCATTCCGTAACTGTTAATAAATGTAAGAATATGGTGCCGACGATATGACCACTTTCTTTCTGGTATTCATAAACTGTATTATGTTAGCTCTATCCAACTAGCTATCTACTTTCAAATATCCTGTATTGTAAATATTTTTTTTACAATACAGGTCGCTATTAAATACTTACGCAGCTCGAGACGTCTCTCTGAATCGTGCGTTCACATCTCTGGCTACCTGATCGTAGATTTTCACCATCCTATTACGATTTGAGTAATATTTATCCAGCTTGCGTTTGGCTGCTTCTAGAGTTTTCGTGCCATAGACGAATGCCAAAAGAAGAACATGTTCTACGACAGAAATATTTTGTGATGTTTATAATATATATAATTTATGAAATATAATACTAATTGTTTAGTACACAATGTAAAGTTCAAAATCAGTGACTGGATTAAAATGCAGTCTATATTCGAAACCTTAACAATGCAGATATTATTAAGCAGGATTGCTGGAAGAATTGGATTCCAAGGAGAATTAGATTTTTCTAGTGAATAACCAACAAGTTTCAAGTGTTCAGCAGACCGAGGGTATAACTTCTAACGTTGAATGTAGGAGTACTAACGAAAGGGTAAAGGTAACTGGATGAACCGACAAATAAGACAGGGAAGATTTCGAATAGATTTCTATTAATATATATGTTTTGAATTTATTATGTATTTATGTATTTTCATTTGTAAGATCACTCAATTAGTCATGTCATATAATAAAACTTTATACTGTGACGATCGAAATATGATAGCATGGTAAAGGCACACCACATGCTCTTGTCCAACGGTGCTCTGTCTATCTCATTTCCATTGGTAAAAACCAAATTTTTATTAATAATCGTTTGACTAGTTGAGGCATATAACAAATAATCATACATAAACTACAAAGAACACGTTTTAAAATCAATAAAGATCTAATTGTGATCACCCTCCGATGGCATATGTTAGTAGAGGTAAGTGCACATTACACGTTCTTGTCCAACTATAGAGATATTTTATTTATTTAACTCTTCTTCTTTTTCTTTCCCTTTCTACAATACGAAATTATAATTTAATTGTAAAAAAAACGTTATATGTTTTTTTGGAAGATTGTTTCTTCCTATATCTCTACCCACGAGTTACCATTGTAAGTACTTGGACGGGTGACCACGTTGACTGGGAAATCCACACTGCCCGAGATTTCCCGGTATGTGGGATCCGTCATACTGGAGATAACTCACACCAACCGGGCTAGAAGTAATGACCCTACCCTACGAAGAGGTTTCGTCCATGCTCTTGCTGACGCTGAGAAGATATAATCCATAGTTCTAGACAAGTTTGTCAATGTCCATAAACTCGAGCCAGTCGATGGGAACAATGAAACTTTGACAATATTTTTTGCTTTTAATGTTATTTATGCTAAATACATACAATAAAGTTAATGATGATAATAGTTGATGACTCACCAACATCGTGAGGGAGGTGGGGCTGCTTGTCGAGCCAGTCCCTCAGCCGTTGCACGTCCTCTTCCACTGCCTCCTTGCTTCTCTTGTTAGAAATTTCTTCAACCATCGCTCAAGATGAAATTATTTCCTTCAAACCAATTCGCAATTATAAAAAAATATACGCTAAATAATACACCTTATTACGGCTAAGATTCCATGTTCCACAATTAGAAAATTATTATACGCCACAGGTAAGTATTAAAAGTATACATGAATAACAATCCATGCATATTTAATTGAATTTAAATAAAAAATCGAAAAAAAATATTAAAAATTGCATAAATAATAAAAAATCTTCATTTACAATTACGTCTACTGAAAATGGTAGGAAAGCAGGTAAAAAATAAATAAATCACCCGAGTTACATACATACATATTAACTACATTTGTCATCATTGATTATAATTTGAATAATAATAATAATAAAGTCTTGAGATCATTTTAGTGTAAACGAAAACAAATATCCTGTATGGTGGTATAGATTTTCATTATCTGTGTTCAATTTAAATCCTAGAAATGGTCTCATCTCCATTATAAAAGGAATGAGAAAAACTACTAATAAATTAATATATTTTACTGATTAAATATACCATAATATTGAACATTTTATATCTCAACTATATTTTACGAATGTTCCAGCCATCAAGTTATAATTAAACATTACATCATATATATATATATATATATATATATATATATATGAGTGTATGTGTGTTATATAAGTTCAAGAGTCAAAGGAGTTTTTAGCTCTAATTGTTCTTTCAACTGAGTTTCTCTGGTGTGTATCAATGTTGCTAGACAAAGTGCTGATCAGGTAGTTCGTTTTTTTGAGTATATATAAAAAATGTTTTATCAGTCTCCTTGCCCTGAATCAACCAACAGACCTTGAATAGCCGAAATCTACTCATAAAACTTTAATGAATTAATTTTCCTCCAATCTAACAACTTCTTGACGAATCTCTATCAATTAAGAGTTCGTTAGAACTTCAGGAATATAATTATCATTGGTTTCATCCGTGGTAGTGATCAATTAATCTATGATAAATTAATTGTTTTCGTGAAGTTGAGTCAGGAAAAGTAATTCGACCATGAATATTTAAGGTATTTATCATTTCATTTATTTACTGGTTCAATTGCTCGTGCTTTCATACGAAACTTTTTTGTAATGAATACTTTGGTATTCCTTTTTACTTATATGCTATCACCTAAAGATGCGTTTTTTTAAAGTTTGTGGGGTCTTTGTTTTGTTAAAATATATTATAGTCAATATAAAATTTAGGCCAAAAAACCTATCTAATGTTATCCAAAAAAGGTTTCAAATTCTTATATTTTGTTTTTATTACTTCAAAAATTATGAATATATAATTTTAGTTTAATATTTTCCACTAAAATTTTATTGAATTGAGAATTTCTGCAGCAAACAATTATACGAGATCCTGAATATGCCAAGAGTATGCTGAAAGTATAATGAGTGGGATGAAAATAAACGAACAGTATTCATTAATGAAAAACAATTCGTAGTACGTTATGCAACTAAAAAACTGCATAAGATATAGCTCATTAAAACATTCTATCACATCAAATGTTTTGGTGATTTCAATCCCTTGAATTTAATTCAGAATGAAATTCCTAAATCCTAAGTCCCTGCCAACATAAAGATTTGTTCAGCCTCAGAAATTTGCTATCCAAGTATCAGTTCTCCACCGTCTTTCTGTGCCCCTTAATTAACCAAAAATCTGTGAATTGATCCAAAAATTATATTTGTTGTTAAAAACATATTATATTCGTTTTAAGCGTCCTTTAAAATTCTTAAATATGAATTTTTATAGAAATAAAAAAATAGTAAATTTAAAATTTGATTTTCATAGACAATATTTTTCTGTCCGTCAAACGAAATCACTAATAACTGCTCAGAATCTTCTTAAAAATCAATGTTGATACATCCATCGAAAATCTGAATTACTGCTCTTCCAACATATATCAATAGCTTTTAGGTTTTATATCTTTGTTTTTAATTTTTTAATGGAGTTCGGATTTGAGCCATTTCGTGTATTATTTAGTTATGTTGTTATCACAAACATAACAAAGACAATCAGCTTACTACCTATCTGTTCCAAAACGTTTTGAAGAAAAGATTTCTTGATATCCTAACATACACGTAAATAATACTTACTTTCTATTGTACTATTGACTATCAAAAAGAAAAACTCCTCCAAGACTTCTAAATTCACTTCTCAATAAACACTCAAAACTGAAACTCAGACAAAAATTGAAAACATATACTTACTTACTACAACTTTTTTGGACTTACGCATCACAAATATTTCGAACAACTAAAAAAGACTCATCTTAACTAACTTCAAATCTTTTATGCTCAAACATTAAGGACAATTACAAATCGCCGCGATGCGTTTGCCACATAACCTTACACACTGACATGCCGACTGTTAACAAACACATACAAACCTATTATAAACGATTACATGACAAATTACAAGCACATTCTAACATACTCATATGACATGGCCACAACACACATGTCAGGCAACGTTCGTAGAAGGTTGAAGAGAGAAGCTGGATTAGGGATCTCCACGCCATATATTAAGTCAATAAAACTAGTTTCAAAAATTTCGTTGTTGTATTATACTAAAAATTCACCGACATAAAATAAAATTTAAACCGAAATACTTACGGGTTACCAGAGACTGATTCGAGTGCTGCGCCAGGTGAGGAGAAGAAATCCTGACTGAGATCAGGCGTTGATGATTTTGGAGTTTCACGCTTTTAAAACCAATCAAATAAACTATTCTTATTTTTCAAATGCTTACTGCATAATTGAATCCTGACTGAATCTATAAATTAGCAGCCTTTTAAAAGCGGATTTAATTTTTCTATGTTTTGCTTTAGACCAATTAAAGTAAATCCATTATTTAATAATGTTTCAGGACTATATTAATGGTATTAATTAAATATTATAACTGTAGAATTGATTTTAATGTCTGCAACAAGAATATAAATGCTAAAAAATAATATGACGCTATGAAATAATAATGTAAGGCTAAAAAATATAATATAACGCTATGAAATAATAATGTAAGACTAAAAAAAATAATATGATAAAAAATATATAATACATCGCGAAATTGAGATTGAATACGCCAATGGCTCTGAGAAGAACAGGCGAATAAATCCATAATTTTTCAGATTTTTAATGAAAAAAATAATTGAAAGAAAGTTAGTGTTTATAAAATTTATAGTTACGAGCAAATACTGAACTTATAATCATAAACAAACTGAAGTCGGAACGTTTTTTCTATATAATATTCAAAAGTAAATTACGAAAAAGATACGGTGTAGACTTAAGACCTCACGATAGAAGTGAAAACATCAACGAGTTTAAATATTGTTTACAAGATATAAAATTATAATTTTGTATAAAGTATACACTGGTAAACTCTGAGTGATCGTCATTTGTATCATTCTCTAAAAATGAAACAATAGATTTATGATAACTAAAATATGCAATAAATAGTTCTGAATGAAATCTAATTTTTAAATCAGCTATATATCTAACAAAAATCACGTCTACCTGTGTTCAATATTTGTTGTGCTTTCATTTATGTCATTCGACATATCCAAATTAAAAAAATATTTATATTGATTTCTGAAAATTTGTTTCTGAATTCTGTATGGTTTTTAAATTTTGAGATATTTTAGACCAAATATTCAAAACAATTGTTTTATTGTTTTTGTTTTTTTTGGCGCTATATGTTTCCCTTTCCGACTCTCTAACTCGGCGTTCACTTCAAAATACAATTTTAAACTATAACTCAATACAAGGAGAATGGAATGCTGAAAATTCCTCTCGCTTACATTATGCAGATCAGAAGTTCAGTTTTTGAGATCTAAATGTTTGAAAAAATCGTTATGGATACGATCGTTATTCTTACGAATTGAACCCAGAAAAATTTAACTTTTAGGTTTCCAAGGACTTGTAAAGTGGCAAACTTGTAATGAAAGAAATTATCAGATTTTAAAGATACATAAAACCTAGACACTAAGAAGACCTTAAATGTTCCTACACACAGAGCGCGATATGTCTCGACGATACGATATTCCTGTCGGCAACGACAGGGTGATATAGTTGTATTAATTTCTATTGTATTATAGCCGACGAAGAGCACGATAATCTGTAACTGAAGCGATAAGCTGGAGATACCTATAGAGAGCATCGTATCTTCGGGACATACCGCGTTCTGTGTGTACTACTACAAATACTATTTCATGTAGTTTGTTAGTACCTTTCTTTTTGATTCCAAAATAATTATCGTCATTTATGACGAAAAAAGCTTTCGGGCTGAAAACCTCACAAAATTCAACCTTTGATCCGCTAGAGTCTGTTAGCGGAATTACGCTCTTTTCTCTTCTGATTCTAAAGGCTGGTTTCCTGTAATATTTGCAGATTTTTTTCCGTTGCCTATATCTTATAGATTTTTTTTATAAACTTCATCACTCTTGTGAATTTTAATGGATATAGCGGAAGTGGAGTGGGAATATATTACCGGAAGGAAGGGTCGAAATAGTTCAGCTTCACTTGGCTTTCTTAAATTTATTTATTCAAGTGTTTTGACCAATAGTATCATCGTTATAGTTTCAAATCTATTTATATAATTTATTATAGATGTTCGTTGTATATATTAGTCCTGCAGAATTTCTTCTATAAAAGTGTTAGGCGGAGCGCTTAGCAAGAAACAGCTACGCTCTACAACATAGAAAAAACAAGTTGAAATGTTATGTCCATTTACAAAGAATGACAGAGTTGCGATGGCCATAATTGAACCTTCTATATCAACCAAAAGAAAAACGAAAAATAGGACGGCCTAGAAAGAAACATGTGCCACCTGTCTTAATGAGGGAGAATGGCTAGATGGAATGAAGTCGCAAGAACTTCTAGGAATGACAAACAACTAAGTTGTAAAAAATCCTTATTAAAAAAAATGCTCATAGTTTAAAAACGTAGTACGATGAGTTTGGCATCCTTTTTCAGTTTTGTAATGTTTTTATGCTGTGTTGTTAGCAACCCAATGTAATTGGGCAGCACCATTTTATGATAGTAAAGTGATTCTCTCTATCGTAAATATAAAATATATTCACAATATATAAACAATCAAAAAGTGATATTTAATATTCTATCTACCTTAAAATATCTGAATGTCTCGTTGATTCCGCATAAAGGTCACAATTTCATAGTTAGCAATTAGCAAACAACAACAAATTTTTCTGAACATATTTTCATTTGAGATTCGTTGATATTTACATGTGGACTTTAGTGTAAAACTGTGAAATGAAACGATAACATTTTATTAGCTGACGAGAAACGGTTTGCTCTAAACAAATTATTTGTTTTCTATTGCCAAAAAAAATGGTTTCAACGAATGGAAGTACTTTAAATGTAATTCAGCTCAGTCTAGTGAGGCTGGAACAATGAAACGGGAGATAGGAATTATCTACTCTCTTTCTTTAATTATGATTTTTAAAAAAATATTAAATACTTTATTATTATATTTAAACATTTCTTATTTTTTCTTTTACAATAATAATTCTATAAAAATATTTTCTATATTTTCTATACAGCTAAATCACAAGGAAAAAATCACAATAGAATTATGCATTATTGCATACAGATAATTCGTGCGTTACTAGCATCTTTCTGTAACTATACTTGTGCATAAAGTAATAGAAATTTCTTTGGCTTAGTCAACAGCCAGTTTCCTGAAGGTGCCGTCAATACCGTAAGTGTTCTGGGAGTCTGGAGGGCGCTTCTTCTCGTCTGAGGACTGCCTTGTAGTTTGGTGGAACCATTCTCTATTTTCTTCCAGCTGATCCAACCAGTAATCTAGAAAACACATTCCTAAGTTAGCAAAGATAAATCCAATAACCAAAATTATAAATAAAACAAGGAACGTTACTTCAATTTAGACATATAAAACCAATATAGCAAATAAAATAGAGTATCATAATAAATGAGTAAAAATATTATAGCACCGGAAATAAGGCGGCTCTAGATTCCCATCTGTGAATAAGATGGTACTCCTTAAAAAAAATAAAGTAAACAAAATTTTAAATATTTCATAAGAAGCTAGTATCAAAAGTGGTAATTGACAGACCAAATATTTAACCGACATTGTCAAGTAGAATTTAGTGGTTTAAGCAGAAAAATGTTGTTTAGGGAAAACAAGAAATGAATTATTTATTTTATTTAATTGGAAAAGACAAGGAACACTGCTACCATCTTTTGGCAGACTAGAGATAAACTCCACAGATGGTCCGGACTTGCTCCATTCCTGAACCATTCATGTTTACTTACAGACCTGGACCCAGGTTCTATATATAAATTACGAAATTGTATGTTATTTTGAGTAAAAAGAACCACGTCTGCCATTCCAGAGCTCCCGCTTTAAAAAATGGCAGCTGATTTAAAGAATATTAGGCCAATAATTTGAGGATCGAAACGAGAAATCCATTGCGAAAAATTTGAGAAAAGTTATTATTTTTTAACTTTTATATATGGCTTTAGACATGTAAAAAACAAAATTGCTATCGCAGGCCACCAAGGGAAAACTTTTTACAGCCAAAAAAGTCAGATTCCTTTGATTCTTTTTTTTTTTTTTGTTTTTTCAACTACAACTCCTAAACGATCCTTCGAAGCTAAAAATGTATTCTTTAATAAATTACAGAAGATTAAATTTTGGGTCGAACAAGTTCATAAACTTTATAATTTGTTTACTTGGTATGGTATAAAACCAGGGTCAACCAACTCTGATTTTTACCAAATTTGACAAAAACTGTGACAAATTACTATAAATGGCCCTGCAACTCGAAAATGAGTCCCTATATATTTCTATGAGGAAAAACTATATAATCAAAGTTGTAGAACATCAAATTTTGCGTTCATTGAGTACTGAAATTTGATTTTAGGGCAATTATATATCTTGAATTGGGATTTGTTATTCCTTTATGAAATTCGACACATCGTTTATTAGAATCATTCGCTACTGGGCGGTGGAAAAGAGGCTTATAGTGTATGTAACAGACTCTAAAGGAACATAACTCAGCAGAATAGACACACATACTATTAGAAGTATTAAAAATCATGTTTACCTTCATTAACAATTTCTAACCGATTTTGTTCGAAGTAATTGAGCTACATTAAATTAAATGGTGCTCACTGGACGCAAAACTTGATGCTCTACAACTTTGGTTCTATGAGTTTTTCCTCTTAAAGAACTCATTTATAAGTTGCAGGGCCATTTGTAATAATTTGTTTCGGTTTTTGACAAATTTGGTAAAAATTAGCGTATTTTTACCATGGTTTTATACCTTACCATATAAAGTTATAAAGTTGTTCGACGCAAAATTTAACCTTCTTCGATTTAATAAAGAATACATTTTTCGCTTCGATGCATCCTTTAGGAGTTGTAGATGAAAAAACAAAAACATATCGACAAAATCTGACTTTGTTGGCTGTAAAATGTTTTCGCTGTATGGTCCGCATTAGTAATTTTGTTTTTTACATGTCTAAACCAATATATACAAGTTTAAAAAATATATATTGAAAAACTTTTCTCGATTTTTTTGGCAATCTATTTCCCGTTTCGAACCTCAAATTACTGGCCCAATATTATTTAAATCAGCTATTTTTTAAAGCAGCGGCTCTCGAACGGCAGAAAAGGTTCTTTTTTCTCAGAAAAACATACGCTTT